TTATTTTAGTAACCAACAGAAATGTGAACCATATGTTGACAGCTCTTCTATTTGAGCGATCTTTGGCTCTGTTCTGCTACATTTATTTATTTCAGCATAGCCTCTCATCTATAGCCGTTTCAGTTAGCAGGGAAACATCCTTTTCTTTCCTTTCTGCTACTTTGAAACTTCCAGGCAATACAGCAGTATTGTATTTGCCACTGGTATAAATTTCTTTTTGCTACTATGCTTAGGTGCCAGTATTGCAAGAAATACCCATCCCTAGCCAGTTTTGGACCCTTGCACAATGTCGTTATACCTCATGGTAGGATCTTGGAACGTAGGCGGGTTTGCGTAGGAGAAGGTATGGTCTTGGGTCCACATGCCCAGATGTTCCAGATCAAACCATGTTATTCAAACTGGTAGTTTACTGAGTGTTTTCTCTTTCATTTTTATGCACTTAAAATGTATGTTGGGATGTATGAAATACATGCATGTTCCACAAATGTATGAATGTAGAACATGTTCAAAACCCGCTCGAGCATAAATGTCTGCTCATTGTGACCAAATATCCAAATAGGTGTCTGGAGAGGAGTCTAATAAGCCACGTGTTCAAACACTGGAAGGGCCTCCATGGTTCTCTGCTGATGAACTCGCATTTAAGAAGCTCGAGGACTCTCCCAAGAACCCCAGGATTCCCTAGAGCACAGAACTTAAGTTATGAAAAGAAACAAACCCAGATTGTGCCTTTTCTTTGACTGAAAAGCAGCCCCTTTCCCCCCACACTGCGTCTCCTGTTCTTGGGTCCCGCGTCAGACACCTCCCCACAGCTCTGGAGTTCTCCCAAGGACCCAGCCAGCTTTTGCATGTTTCTTTGTATTTAAGGAAAGAGATCTGTAGCCGTCGGAATTTCTACTACGGTTACTAAAAACCGGATCGGCCCTCCAATACCGCTTGTGAGTGAAGCTGGCCAGTGGGACCCTTTTGCTGCTTTTCAGCTAAGAGCAGCCCTTTGGCCTAGTTAACAAGCCCAAGTTTTGTGCTATGTTAGCATTCCCTGAAAAGTATCTGCATCGCCCTTTAAACTGGTGCCATCCAGATGTGCTGGAGAGCAGCTCCCATAATTCCTGGCTTGCACAGCCAGATGTGCCAGTCTAACAAAAGTACAGTTCTGATTGCAGAATATGTTTTATCAGGTTGATTTCTGTTTATTGGCACCATCTGGCCAGTTAGCCCCAACTGCTTAGCACCCTGAGAATGTTTACATGGGCGCACAAGTCTCCACAAACAAATCCCTGCCTCCCCTGTTTTGTCTCTGAGGTAGCATCATGTACATAGCGACTTTAACTAGGTTTACCCTCCTTAACCGTCATTTGAAGCCCTGATTTGAAATGAGTGGTGAGGCAGCATCATACGTCAGTCCGAGGAAGTGTTGGCAGCATTTAGTGCCAGCGCGCAGACAATGCCGTGCTGTTTCTAAAGGAAATTTCCAAAGAGTCTGTGGAAGACCACAACTGTATGCATAATTTAATGAGATTGGGACCTTGTGGGTACGCTGTGCCATTAAGTTCCATGTGACTTACACCCAAGTAGATGCCATAGGCTTGTAGCATCAAGTTCTTGAGTGGGCAGGTTGTGACCACTGTTATTTCTTGTAAGAATAAATTGATTAATAATAAGTATTTAAGTTTTAGCTCCTTACCTTTTTTCTGATCCTTTAGAGGCCAGTAAAGATATGTTTGGAATTAAGTGCCGTGCATCCAAGTTAATAATTTCTCAAACTTTCCTCGAGTTCAGTAGTGTGCATGGAAGTAGCTTCCTTATAAAAGCTCGGTGGCCAACGAATTAGGCTGGAAGTCTGGGTGAAAGATTGCTTCTTCCCTGAGGATGTAATCAGAGAGGACAGGGAATTCCATACCCACTTAAAATGTGCAATTACTAAATAATCAAGCATTGCTTCCGGCTATTTAGAACAATAAAGTTTCTTGGAAGTACGTCATCTGACATGGTTGTAATACAAGGAGGCACAGCTGTGGAACACTGCACGGGTCACAGTGGACTTTAAAATGGAGAGCATAGTATTGTAAAATGGCCTTGTGAAAAAGCAGAGTCAAGCTACTAGCCCTGTGTGTGTTTATCTCTGGACTCAATGCAGATATTGTGCTAAACCATAGCTAAGGAAACTCTGTGTGAGGACATCCGAGTTGGCAAGCCATATTTTGTACTCGGCTGGGGAAGCAGAAACCATTGGTCAAAACAGTTGTGCAAAGAAAGCCATGGAAACCGTGGCTTGGTGTGCATGAGAAGGCACAACTGGTACCTTCCAGGTGTTTTGGACTACAGCTCCCATCAGGCCCAGACAGCATAACTAGTAGCAAAGGATCATGAGCGATGCTGCCCGATACATATGGAAGGAACGAGATTGGTTAAACCTGGATGGTCTGTAGCTGTCACTTCACCTTTAGTGGCCACTGCAAGAGGGACCAAAACCCCTTACGGGTGGATAGTGGCTGAGAATGTGAGATGTTTGTGGCTTACTTTGGAACTCATGGCATGCGATCTTAAATGCTGGTTAGCTTGGGTCTGTGCCTGGATTGAACCTGCCTATTAAACCTCTTGTCTGGTTGCCCGGAGGCCTTTCTTACTCGCCTCAAGTGAGTCAGCTTTGGTGTGTTTGCAAGCCTGATTTAATGGAAAGGAATGTGGCTTGATGAGAGCATGTGCTTTAATACTAGGACCTCCAGACAGGGCTGGGAAAGAACCATATCTGAACTCCTTCCGGACCTTGTGTAGACCTGAGGCAAGCAATTTGTGGCCCTCAAAATGTTTGGCTCTACAGCTCTCATCAGCTCTAGACAGCACAGATTGAGGCAAATAAGGGTGTCCTTGAGAAGGGCACATGATTTTTAAATTCTATTCTTGTTAGGGATTTCATCAAAAACCAGGCAAAATGTAAGATAAAAAGCAAAAATAAGAATTGTGTATCTGAAAATACCTGTATAACTGCATAAATTCAACTGCATCAAAAAAGACAGACCAAGTGCGTTTGAAAGTAGCATTTGTATGCCATCTATTCAAATACTGAATGTGGCCTTAGATCTTTGATCCATGATGCTATAGAAAGTGAATGTCTTTCCAGGGTCAAGTATCAGTCTTTTGGCTCTCAAAAGGGCATGGAAAATCCATTTGTGTTGACTGAACTTTCACATTCAAGCAGCAGATAGATATTTTAAGAGAACATGTAGATTAGAAATTTGAAGACCCTTCCAGGATGAAGTTTATCTATATATAACTTCCACTTAGAAAGAGGCAACTGATGCCTGGCCAGGTACAGATAATACCGAGGTAGATAGACCTGTAGTAGGTCATTTCTTGTGTGTTACGAGAGCAAAATGTAAAACTTTTTATTTGCTCTTCCTGATGTGGAATCTTTAGACAGAACTAATCTTTCTAGTAACTCTTGTAACTTCCCTTCCCTTAACAGAGACACACATGATTTGACTCCAGCAAAAGCATGCAGTATAGTAAACAATCTTTTGTTGGTGTATAGACTGTAAAAACTGGGGCAGGAATGGCTTGTTAACTTGCCAAATCAAGGAGAAGGAAGCTATTAAAATCTAATGGCTCACATAAGTGTCACAAAGAGCAAATAATGTACAATGCAAAGAGCTTCTTATTGAAAGAGGGAAAGAACCGTATGGGTTCCTGCCCCTTCCCCCACTTAATTATGAAAGAAACAGTACAATTCTAACATGCTTAACAGGGGAAAAGGTCCTGCTTCTGGCTAACTAGGGAATGCCAGAAGTAGTAGGAATCCATATATGTTTAGATAAGATGCACCCTTCTTCAAAACCAGGGAATGGAAAGAAAGATGATAGTTTTCATGTCAGCGTAACTCCCAGTATGGACATTTTGCAGTACATCCAGAGCAGTAACCTCTTTAGTCTATTGTGGAAACGTCTTAGTCTATTGTGGCAACAAAACAAGCATCTTGTGGCACCTTAAAGACTAACCAGTGAATTATGGCAAGCACTTTATTTGCTGATAAATTTGGTTTTGAATCATTGCAGGGGACTCTTAATTTAAGAAAATGGAGCCACTGGGCTTAACTTTCTACCTGTGCCACAGAGGTCTTTCCTCTTCCTCATGTTCTCTCTCACCAACATGAGAAAAATTTAAGAGGATGTCAGTTCCAAAAAATGTTGATTTCTGTGCTGACCTCCTTCTTTAACAAGAGCAACACAGAAAAAAATAGATGGCATAACCTCGAATATTGGAGAAGCTGTACATTTTGGTGCTGGTGCTTTAGTAATTGGTTGATGTTAAGTTTGACTAAATGCATTTCCAGCTAATTCTGGAGTGAGTTCAGTCTATGAGTCAGTGGTTCTGCTTTGGCGAGCATAAGTGGATGAAAATAAGCCCTCTAATCTGTAAAAGTTACACGATCACTGTCCTAAGTTGGAAGTATCAAGGCCTTGAAATAGCTTTTACCAAAAGTATTAAAGGAGGGCTGCCAGAATGTCTGTGCTTCTTACATGTCAGAATTGCCTTTTTAGGCACGGGGCTGAAAAAATATTTCGGATAGCTAGGCGCCGGCGTAACATTTCTGGGACAACGTGGCGTGTTTCATCCTTGTGTCCTTGGGCCAGAGTAGATCTGGCAGACGAAAAACTGGACAGGAGGGCACTGCTGCACCCATCTTCCCGTCTCTGGCCTTGCTGGAACCAAACTCAAAGGGGTTGGAACCGCAGCACCATACAGTTAATGTACCATGGCAAGGCCCACCATGATTCATGTATGAACTGGTTTTCTTGCAGCGAAACCAAGGGAAATGGTTAGACTGGGCGCAAAGCATGAGGCTCTAAAAACGGTCTAATATGGGATAAGATGCAATGCCTGTGACCCATTTCTCAGCTGCACCTGGGGCGAAAACAAACTTTGCGCTAACCACAAGCTAGCGCTTGTATTGATGTCGTGTTTATAAACCCCACAACTCTTCACTTGTGCTTTTCTTTCCGCAGCTTTATCAGCAAGGCCGGCTATGCCAGCTGGGTAGTGAATTCTGCGAACTAGAAGTTTTCGCGAAGGTGCTTCGAGCTTTAGATAAAAGGTAAGTCGGTGCTAAAAAGGATGGATGTTTTTACTTTTCAGAGTAGATATTTCTCCCCACCCTGAACTTTTGGGAATGGTGGGCACGTTTGGAGTTTCTGAATTCTTGTCATGGTGTGGTCACAGTAGACATAGTGAATCAGAAATCACGTTTCACAGAGGACTGAGGGGTGAGGCTGGAAGAAAAAGAACTTGGCAAAAAACGAAAAACCTACTAGGCATGGTACAACCACCTCTTAGGAAGTTTCCCTGGGAAGGATATACTTTTTCCCTTTCAGAAGCAGGGAATCTTCACTTCCCAACAGTGGCTGGATCATATTCGCCCCTTTGCAAGAGGAACCTTGCAAAAAAATTTTGCATTTTTGGAATCGTTTTCATCATGATGTTGTGCCAGTCAGCTTGGCAACCTGTGCAGCGCTACAATCATTGCATAAGAATGGCCTAAAATGGAGCAAACACAGGACGCCTCCCTTCCTGGTTACCTGGAGGCCATTCTTATCCATCCCAGGATGTAAACGTGCTTGTTTCATTTAAACACCTTTTGTGGGTGAAGATATGGGTTCCCTAGTCCCCAGTGCTCAGCAGGGAGCCATGTACACCAGGTGCTTGTAGACACCTTGGCACCCCAGCAAGCTCCCTTTTTCACCTGATTTCTTTTTTAATCTACAATTAATCTTTAAAAATAACCACGAGATTGGCTGGCACAAAGCAGAGCAGCAGGCGGCTGTGCCCTGTTCGTTTTTAAAAGTACTTCAGAGGTTCGTATGCCCTGGCAGTTTGTCTTTCAGTGACGTGAATGCTGGAGAAGCATCAAAAGAGGATTTTTTGGTGTTTCAGCGCTCAGATTTCCTTCTCTAAAAACTGGGACTAACATTTTTCTGGAAAGTTGCTCCCTTCTCATCTCAGTCGTGTTTTCCCTTCTGCATTGTGACATAGAAGAGCTCCTGCCATAGTAATTTTACTGATCTAATATTTACCCCATTTGATGGTCAGTTTATTAATAGAGTCGTTTCCTTTTGTTACGCATTGATTCGAAGCGCTGCTGATAGGCTGTTGTAGCCACATTTCTGTTGGATATAACCTTTCGTACTATTTTTTGTTTTGACTCTGTTGCATTTTGTCAGCTCACTTTGGGCCTCCTTTGGGAAGGCAGAGCTGATGAAGCCAAACAACAATACATGGATTCAATAACTGACGGGAAGAACTTTTGGACTAGGCAGTTCATATATTCCTGAAGAGATCTGCCCTGCTGCCTTCGAAGTTCTCCATACTCTGCAGAGATCTTTGTCTCGCTTTATCATCTGCTCCGCTTCTTGACTCGTCTTGCGCTTTCAGAGGAGCCGGGGTGGGTGGGGGAAGAGAAGCGGGCTGGTGGTTCGCACACGCGTCCCGTTCGTTCGTTGTAAGAGCCACTAGTGTTACAGCATCCGCAGGTTTCCCAAGGTTGTTGTCACCCTTGGCTGGAGCGCTGGGTGATGGATTATTTCCTGTTTTGCAGAGCTGGGCTAGGGTGATGTTTGGCTTTTTGTGGAAACAAAACGGGGTGTGTGTCCCATTCGACACACCCACACACGTGTTCACTAGGGGCATTATGTAAATCTGGTTCCTTGGGCAAATTGCAGCAGGTTTGTGTGTGTGGTATTTCACCTGCGTATTTGGGCCCTTTGCTGCAACAAAGAGAGTTGTGGGGAGAATACCAGGGGAAGGAGAGGGCCCGTTCCGGAAAGATGAAGCGGTCGTGTTGGCCTCTTCTCTTCAGTGGGGAGCCTGTGGCGGCCCTGGTCATTTTTTGCTTCCACACATGAACCACTGCCCATCTGCAGAGTGTCTGGATAGCTTGGGGATTGGCTGGCTGTCGCAGTATCTTCTCGTGGCCGCTGGCACTCCCAGTGCGGTGCCGGGTGTGTTTACTCGGCACTAAGCCCTGTGGATCCAGCAGGGCGTGATGTTTCTATGGATAGGCTGGACGTGCACATGGTGGGCATGTCGTGAGCGGAGCTGGCTGGTGCCGGAGGTCAGACTAGATGGCCCGGGAGACCCCGTCTGACTTGCTCTGTTTCTATATTTCTATGTTCATTCAGAGGAGCAGGAGGGAGGTCCTGTTCGCCTCTCCCATCTTTGTCCTCACCCCTGTCTTCCAGACATCTCCTCCATCACTGTTTCCAGGCTCTGATGGATCATGGTGTCAAAGTGGCCTCCGTCTTGGCCTATTCGTTCAGCAGGAGGTGTTCCTACATAGCGGAATCGGATGCTGCTGTAAAGGAAAAGGCGATCCAGATCGGATTTGTCTTAGGTAACTGTGGGCAAAATGGGATATTGAACTAGTGACAAGGTCATGTATTTGAAGGGGGGGAGTTTTGCCAATGTGGGGGCCTAAAGTAAGGCTTGGGGGCTCTTTTCAGTAGACCTAGTGAGTGTGTCTGGGTGCAGCTTTCCCAGGGGCCCCATCCCTTTTCACCAGCCCCTGACCTTGGTGGTTTCCCCACGTCTTCCCTGCTCCCTTCTCAAGAAAGCCATCCTGGTGTGGTGGTTAAGAGTGTGGGACTGGGATTCAGGAGCTGTGGTTCTGCTCCCCGCTCAGCCATGGAGCCAACTGGGCGACTCAGGACCAGTCACAGTCTCTCAGCCCAACCTATTTCACAGGATTGCAGTTGAGAGGTTAAGACGGAAAGAATTATGTAAGCCGCCTTAAGTTCCTTGGAAGGAAAAAATCAGGGTGTAAATATAATAATTAAATGTTGAAGTGCCCCTCTTAAGCTTGGGTTACTGGCATAAGAGCTTCAGACTGAAGGCTCTGAGGGTGGAAGGCTGCCAGCAGATTCAGATCCAGAAGTTTTGTCTATGCCATGAATACTTGGACATGGCCCAGGGACCATCCGATTGCCTCCTCTGGGGTTGCTTTGCTCCTCTTACCAGATGAAGTCACACCATGGCACGGGGTCTGAATCCCTTCCTGATATTCCTCAGGCTGCCCTGTTCAAGGCCTGTTGCGGGTTTAGTCCCTGCCATACAGCACAAATCGCACTAACTGTATCCAGTCAAAGCATTTCTGTCCTGCTCTTCAGTCACAAGACTCCCAGGACTGTCCACACCCTCCAGCTCAGTTCGAAAAGACACGAGATACTTGGACGGGTCAGGGAGGAAGCCAGCAAACCAGTTTCAAACCAAGCTGGTCGGTCTTTAACTGCTGAGGAGACCCACAACATCACGGGAAGGGCAAAGTGTAGGCCACAGCTTGGAAGCCACCTGGTTGGGGGTGGTCTCTGGAGACCACGAGTGCGCTGAAAGACTGGGTAGGAAGTATGAGGAAGAGTGTTTTGGCCCGCTGTCCCCCATGCATGGCCTTGTGGATGCTTGCTTTCCTAGGTGGGTTCCTCTCAGATGCCGGTTGGTACAGCGATGCCGAGAAGGTCTTCCTTTCCTGCCTTCAGCTGTGCACCCTTCACGATGAGATGCTGCAGTGGTTTCGTGCTGTTGAGTGTTGCGTGAGGTAAGCCCCACCCCATTCCCGGAAAATCCACGCAGCACAAAGCGAGAAACCCACACGAATGGATGGGGGCATTGTCCCAAGCCTTTTAAAAGCGTTGCCATGTTATTTTAAGGGAGTGTTTCACACTGTGCTGTACAATTCCCTTTCCTCCACATTTTGGTTGCTTGGAAGGTTGTTGATGCTGCTTTATCATAACACACGTTGTGTTTTTTGTCACACTGGTGAGCCTGAAACTTCAGCTAAGGGGCAGCACATGCGTGAAATCATAATCGTCTTAGTAAAAAGATAGTTGTTCACGGAGGCCACCGGCTAGATCACAGAGGCCTTCGTGAGGCCTGCCTGCCTCCAGCAAGGTGTGCCTCAGGTAAGAGGAGCCCTGCAGAACGCCCAGGTGGCGTGTCCTTGGGGCCAGGCCGGTTCCCCAGCTTCTAGTTGCCTGCCCGAAGGTGGGCCTCTCTGCGTTTGCCCTGACCCGCAGGGCCGCACGCTGCCGCTCTTTTGAAAGCATCCTGAGAGTCCAGTTTGCCTTCGGAGGCCATGGGGGATTTAGCGTGCTGCTGGCCGCCCTTCCAGATGCGTGGCTAGCCATGGACAGGGGTCTGGCTAGCAGCCCAGCTGGGTCATGAGCCAGTGGGGGCTCTCCAGCGCCTTCTCCCCAGGGCTCTCCCACAAAGCTAATTGCCAACAAGGGCGGTGGGTCAGTCCATAGTGGCAGATGGTTGCCAGTACGGAGCTTGTCTGTGTTTTTTTCCACTGTTTGTGACTACATGGCTGCACAGATGACCCTTGAAGAACCCGCATCACCAGAGAGCGGTCCTGTGCTTTTTCTTAAGTGTCCAAGTACGCTTCCTTCCTCCCGTCCGTCCGTGCGTGCGTGCGTGCGTGCGTGCTTCCTTCCGTCCGTCCGTCCTTCCTTCCTTCCTTCCTTCCTTCCTTCCTTCCTTGTTCTGTGCTTGCTCAAAGATAATTTTTGAGGTTCGAAGGTTCGGGTACTGGGCCATGATCTTAATGAATCTTCGTTGTGTGTGGCCGATGTGCCAGCGAGGTGACGTGGCGCGGCCTGAGCGACCGGCTGCTGCCGTCCCTCTCCCAACCACCTTCCGCCTTGACTTTATTAGATTGTGCTGCCTTTGTGCTGAGCTGTGCTTTCCCGCCGTGTCTCGTCCTTTGCAGGTGATCGGTGGGAGGAGACCCCCTTTCCCTTTTTAAATACCTAAAACAGCGCCTTGGAGGTGAAGTCCACCCTGTTCGCTGCCAAGCTGCGTGACTGACTATGGTCGTCGCGTTCTAGGTTCAGACTTGCAAGGGTGGCCCACCTGCTCTCGGAGCTTTTGCTGTAACACTTCTGTCTCCACATTTGGGTTTTCCCTTATGTATGCTTTGACAGTGCTGAGTGGAGTCACCGAACCCTTGCAAATGGTGAATTTTATACTCCCAAAGAAATTCTAAGCCAGCTGCATCCTTTCCCTCTGAGTCTGAAGGAAAGCTTCTTAGTTGCTTTGGGGTAAAGAGTTGCTTTTTAAAACCCAGGAGCGTGTGGAGAAACGTGCGCGTGGTAGCGTGACTTGCAAAGTTGCCCCCTGACTCTGGCCAGTTTCTAACAACCGGAATGGGCTATGCGGTATCAGCAAACAACAAAATTGACCTCTGTACTTCATAGGTGTGCCCACAGACAGCTCCCCGTGCCTCAGGGGATGGGATGGCATGCTTTGGGGATTTACTCCCCCGTTTATAATGCATGCTCTTTTTGAGAGGGCCCGTTCAGACGTAACAGCCTCAGTCCAATAAATAAATAAATAGTTTGAGTTGAGAAAGCGCGCTAGGAGTGCCCCCCCCCCTTTTCTTATTACGATACATTCTGGCATCCGTTAAGCCACGGTTTCCTATTCCATCTCAACCAGGAAACGGGCTTAATTTCTAGCTCCAGACTAGATTCAGTGTCATAGCCAAAGAGTTTGACCGCTGCTTCCTTGCTCAGCTGGAACACCAAAGTGTGGTTTAACCAAACGCCAGACATTGTGCACTGCAGCACCAAGAGCGTAGCAGCTATTTGGCCGCCTGGAAAAGAAATGGATCCTAGTAAGGGAGGAGAGATGGGCTACGCAGGCACAGTGCCCACTCTCAGTCCAGGAAGCCCTTTATTTCCTTATTCATTAGAGGTTTTTATTTTTATTTAAACGTCATTTTAATTGTTAACAATATTTGCTTATTTATCTGGCCAGGGCGACTTCTTTTATATTGTTTATTTATTTTATGTTGTTAATTTTAATTTTATATTGTTATTTTTGTATTTTATTGTACTTTATTGTGTTGTAAGCCGCCCCGAGGCTTCGGCAAGGGGCGGCATAGAAATGTTTTAATAAATAAATGAATGAATGAATGAATGAATGAATGAATGTTTATCCCTCCCCATTCGACTTAAGGCTCCCTGGTTTATTGGACTGAGATCGCTGCCCTGAACCTACCATTGCCTTTGACCATGGAGATTAACTTTTCTGCTTTTAACCAATATACATGAATGAGAAGATTTTTAAACCAGGGTGAAAACCTCCAGTTCAGTTCCTCCTTCCTGTAGTAAAGGCAGGAAGACCCATTAATTTTCTCGTGAGAGAATCGCAGGGCTAGCAGCGATTCACCTTGTGGATATCAGGGTCTCAAATGTCTTCCTTAGGTTGCTCCACGTCCGGAATGGGAACTGCAAGTACCACCTGGGAGAGGAAACGTTCAAACTAGCTCAGTCTTACATGGACAAGCTAGCGAAGCACGGCCAGGAGGCCAACAAAGCGGCATTGTACGGGGAGCTGTGTGCTCTGCTCTTTGCCAAGAGCCACTACGACGAGGTGAGCATCGTCCACAGGGCCGTGGACGAGCATCCTGGACCCTTCTCAGCGCACGCTCGGGGGGACAGCTTGCACAGCCGTCCCCTGGCCCGGCGAGTCAGTGGGGCATGCAGGCTGACAGAAGTGTGCTTTACTGAGGCTTGGCACCAGTGTTCTAGTTCATTGGCTGGTGCCCAATAAAATGATCATTGGCTAAAATTAGTGCTTGGCCGAGGTTCAGGGGCCGAAGTTTGCAGGAACTGGAGCTTTTCTCAGCCTGAAAGGGGTGGTGGTGGGTTGTGTTTACGCCCTCCCTTGGGAAGACGCCGTGTTGGCTCCTGGAACTCTTGGGAGGTTTGCTCTTCCTTGGTGTTTGCCAGAACTTCATGCAGCAGCAAAAGCCGGCTCTTGATTTCATCTGTGCCCCCCCCCCCGTGCTCCAGTGAGCACAGCTGCTTGGCAGAGGTGCAGAGTTCGACAGCCAGGTTCCACAAGCTGGATGTCTGGAAAGGGGCTGGACCAGAGTTCAGCTGATAAGAGTCGGACCAGCAAAGTTACCTCCGTGCTCCGGAAACGGCACAGTTTGGAGGCTGCCGGCACTCGTCGGGCTTTCGCCTGCTCTTCCCCATTTTCATCCGCGTTCACTCACCAGCTTCAGCATTTGGACTCCCACAAATGGGCAATAGAAAACCCGTGCGTTTTCGATTCCAAATGGCGAGTTTTACTTTGTTGAGTAAAGGAATTGGGTTTATTAAGCACTCTAATATTAGTATCTAAATTGGCTTTCCTCTGCCTACCGTGCTCTATTTCCCTTTTGCATCGTGTCCGTTAAACACTTACAGGCAGAGAGCGATTCCCTCCCTCTAAAGCAGAACCCTTCTAAAAGTTCAAGCATTTTATAAACTGTAAATAAGGATATTCTCGTGCTCCTCACAGGCGTACAAATGGTGTATAGAAGCCATGAAGGAGATCTCGGTGGGCTTACCTGTCAAGGTGGTTGTGGATGTGTTGCGGCAAGCGTCGAAGGTGAGTTCGAACGCGTGGGGTTTGGCTCGCATCCTGCCATTTGCTGATTGGGGCTGAGGGGGCTCCGTTCCTCCCGCTCACACACAACATGTGGCATGTTTAACCAAGGGTTTGTCGTTACGTGAGCAGCTTCAAATAGAAGCGGTTTCTCATGTTTACTTTCTTTTCCTCTTGATCTAGGCTTGTGTTGTAAAACGTGAATTTAAGAAAGCCGAACAGTTGATAAAACACGCAGTTTACCTAGCACGGTAAGTAAGCTCCATTTCAGAGATGGTTTCATGTTGCACCTTTTGTGTTCTACCTTTCAGACTTGATTTGTTCCTTTTTTAAAATCTTTCAGGGAGCATTTTGGAGCCAAACATCCAAAATATTCAGACACACTACTAGACTATGGGTTTTATTTACTCAACGTAGACAACATCTGCCAGTCAGTTGCAATTTATCAGGTATGACTCTGGGCTGTGGCCTCGCGCCTCTCTCTAGACTTGCATAAGACCTATCTTGTGAGGAAGATGTTTTGGTAAATAAGGTGATTACCTCTTGATCTGGACTGTTTACAGCTGCAAAATACAGCTTAGTACGTAATACAATGAACAGTTGCACACAAAGAAATAAACAGGCAACACACAGACACACATCATAAAGAGTTAGGGAGAAATACAAAGTATAAGGAGAAGAAATCTGGGAACCTGGTTATACCCCTTACCCTACCCTGCCAAATACCTGAGCGTCGAGAAAAATGTGGAGCAGCAGTGTGAAGCCGGTTGCCACAAAAGCAACTCTGGCCATAGGCTGCATTATCAAAAACAGGGCCACTGGCTAGGAAAATTCCTCTGTGATGCAACAGACAGACTTAATTTGCACATGAACCAGAAGTGAAGAGTTGTGAGAAGGCCTCAGACCACATTGTCAGCGCCCCTCCACAACCTAAAGCAAAAAGCAAGCTCACCCTCCTCCCTGCAAGAAGAAAACTAGCACAGAAGGAGGGGAGAAATGTCAGAACTTTTCCCCTGATGTGCTCATTTTCTATCTGCAAGGAGGTTCTTGTTTAGAAAGCATCATGAGACTCCAGAATAACTGACAATATAGAAAAGTCTTTAATAAACAAATAAAAAGAGACGAGACCTTCAAAATTAGTGCCCTCAGGGGCAAGCTACAGGGAAATCTTGACTCTGTGGTTGGGCGTAATAGATGGTGCATTCCGAAGAATTGTGCATTATTCTGCATCTGCCTGGCATTAAAACATTGCTTTGGAAACAACCGAAGGTGCAGCTGATGAAACTGACTCTCATTTTGCATGCGAATCATTTCAGACGGCGCTCGACATCAGGCAGTCCGTGTTTGGCGGCAAAAACATCCACGTAGCTACGGCGCACGAAGACTTGGCTTACTCCTCTTACGTGCACCAGTACAGCTCGGGGAAATTTGACAACGCGCTGTGAGTATTCCGTCCGCCTCAGGCCGCCGTTCTTCCTGTCTGGCACCCAAAAGCGGCATCGGCTGTCAGAAGGCCGGCAGCGCCGTCCTGCAGCAGGACTGTGCTGTTCCTGAGCTCAGGGGAGCTCCTTCAGTCCCTGCAAAAGGACTTCAGAGCTGCTCTCCTGAGCGCAAGTGTTTTATTTCGCTGCGAAATGTTCAGCTGTTGCCCGTTCGTGTCACGTTTTCATGCTTTGAGGCACTTTACCTTAGCTTTGCCTGTCGGATGCGCCTTGCCTGTGGAGATCTAGTGTCGCAAGGCTAGGTGACGGCTTTTCCCTGATTTGCTGCTCCCTTTCTGCATGCAGAGGGCTGCCTAACATGAGAGGCCAACAAGCATTCAAACAGCAGTTCTCCTCCCTACTGGGGAGGGCCATTCGGCACGCTTTTCTCCCTTCCCCAGGCGCCAGTGAATCGGCCCTCAGTGCTACGACTTGGCAGGGGCGCGCTTCATAAAAGGGAACGGTTGTTTTGCTGCAAGTGGCAGAGCTTTGCTGGCCGAATAAATTATGCAGATTTAAACCACAGAAACGTCATTTTGATATAGTGCTTCATTGTAGACGCAGAAGCAATTTGGCTTTGAGCAAGTGGACGTTGCACTCCTTATCCGAGTTGTGTAGGAAAGAGTTTAAAGATAGGACAGAATTCGCCATATCTCAGAAGCTGAGCAGAGGTGCGAGAGTCAGTACTCCAGGTAGAAATCATCTGCAGTTCACGGTTGTCCCTTGGCTGGAGAAAATTCTCTCCAGACCTCCCCCTGCACACACATCTCACCCTGGAGCCACTAGGAATCACTGCCGTTCCCCAACTACCCACTCCTTGCACAGAGTAGAATAAGATGTTGGTGTTTCGGAAGTTACTGCCCCGTTTATCTTCTCTAGCCAGCTTCTGGGGATTTTAAACAACAGCCACCCTCCTATTGCACCATACATTAAAATACAAAATGAATAATCAAGCCTTTGAAAGGAGGAAATCCTATTCAGGATAAAACCACTGTGGTTGCTGTTTAATGGCTGCCTGTTCAGACAGAAATGAAGTCTGTTGGTTTGGTTTGGTTTCAGTTTTTGTCTAAATAGACATAGGATTGAGGTCTAAATCATCTAAACCGGGGGCCATTGCCATAATTTGTATCTAAGACTTCATGGATTTGGTAGAGAAGGACTTAGCTTTGTCTACCTCAAATCTGCTGCCTGAGAGTTCCATTGGATGATCCCAAAGAGCATTCATGGGAGGGAGAAAATGAGCAGAATTTCTCTCTCTCCTCACCATCAGGCAGACAAACATGCTCTTTGTTTTTAAGATGCAGAACAGCTTAAAAGCCTTGCCTTTTTCCAAGAAGTCCTTCAGGCAAACCGGAATCTGTGACAGAAATCTTTTAATCCTGTGTTTTGCATGGTGTTCCGAGCAAGCAATAAACAATTTTCCTGAATCCTTCATAAGCCAAAAGCAGCTATGCTGGCCTTCCTAGATAGAGCACTCTGCGGATGGTACCGGAACATCCTTTTTAATGTGGGGACATAGGTTTTTATTTCAACAACAGTGTTCCAGGAAAGGCAGGGTCGATGAACATATTCCTCACAAACACGTTGTCCTTGGTCGTAGATTCCACGCAGAACGTGCCATTGGCATCATAACCCACATCCTTCCAGAAGACCATCTTCTCCTCGCCTCCTCCAAAAGAGTGAAAGGTATTTGCACGTTGCTTTCAATTCCAGCACATCTCAAAGGGTTTCTCGTGGAGGGTGGGGCAGTGCCTCTGCCTGAATCCTGGGAGCGTCCTTGCCTTTTGGAGTATTTTTATTCATTATTTATTTATCTGGCACACTTATATGCCACAGAACACACTAGGCTGTTCTGGGCAAAATAGCCAGCGCTCTGAAGCTGGCAGGCAGTGTCGTACCTTCCAAAGTGGCAGGTTTATTGGCGTTTTGGGTGCAGCAAAGTGCGGAAGCTCAGGCCATGGGACCAGCTCCCAAGGTAGCCATCCAGGTTCCCAAGATGTCCACACGCCCTTCCCCGGTCCCAGCCCCTGCCGCGGCTTCCCAGCTTCTTGGCTGTCTCCCCTCATTTTCAAGGACCGAAATGCCTCTCCCGAAGCAGCCCCCAAGAGGTTCAGTCGCCTCATGGCACCACATCGCCGGCCGTGTTGCAGGGGCGAAGGAGGGCAAGGGCAGAGTGGAAAGGCCGTCTGGGTAATGCGGCCGGCGGGGTCGGCACCCCCAGGTTGCTTGGGTGCCAGGTGCACTGATGCGGCTTGCTCTCTGCCCCTCCCCTTCCCTCCGCAAGCGCTCATCCTGGAGGAGATTGCGATCGATTGTCACAACAAGGAGACGGAGCAGCGGTTGCTGCAGGAGGCCCACGACCTGCACCTCTCCTCGCTCCAGCTCGCCAAAAAGGCCTTCGGAGAGTTCAACGTGCAGACGGCGAAGCACTACGGGAACCTTGGCCGACTGTACCAGTCGATGCGGAAGTTTAAGGTGGGGGCGTGATCTCGTGCAACCTGCGTCTCCATCACCCCCTAGCCAAGTCGCCTGATCAGCCCCCACTCTCCCAGTTTGGACCCTTCCCTCTACCCAGTTGCCAACCCAGAGGTAACTCAGGAGTGGTTCCCAGGATGGGAGAGACATCAGTTCAGAAGCTGTCGAGCAGCCAACTTGAGAGCTTAGATGAAGGAGCAGCCTAGAAAACAAGCATGTGGTTGTAGTCAGAGGTGTATTCTCAGAACCGGCTTGGACCTTCAGAGCACTTCGGGATGAGACCCAGGTTCACAGTACAGAATTAAGAGACTAGTTTTATATTTATTTTTATTGTATTTTTGTATTTTTATCTAATGTTTATATTTTTTAATTTATTATTATAATTATTTTTTAATTTATTATTGTAAGCTGCCTGGAGGCTTCGGCGAATGGGGCGGCATAAAAATGTTTTAATAAATAAAAAATAGTTCAGAGGTGTCCTGGGTTTCAAGTGAGTGAGAGAGAGAGGTCCTTCCGAGAGCGGGCTCAGCCACGCACATGAGCCCCAGGCTGGCATGGGCTTCGGCTCAAGGGATGCTGCAGCCAGGCTGATTCCCTGCTGTTCAAGTAGTTTGTTTTTCAGGAATGCTAGGTGGCCCAAGGCAAGGCAAGTGTACTGGTTTGGGAATAAACTAGCCCAATAGGGGAGAGCAGCTGCCCCCAATGTGAGCTGACTTAAGGTTCCAGGATGCTGAAATCAGTCCTGGCTAGGCAGAATCCCAACTATCGAACATGCTCCATTCTCTCATTCTTGCACTGTTGGAGTCCAAGTGGAACTAGAGCCAAAGATTCCAGAAGTAACTGGCGGATCTTGGTGCAGGAGACCTAAAGGCTAAAGGCAAAATAGGCACGCACCCCATTGGTGCCTTCTGGTGTACGCATGTCAAGGCAGAGCCAGATTCATGAAAAATTTGAGGAGTCCAGAACAGAAGGCTTTCAGGACAATCCAAGGCAAAGGCACTTGGTGCTCAGCAAACACGCAAGTGTGGTTCTTGAGAGACTGGTGTTCTGTTTCCCAACTACTCTTGACAATTCAGGGTTCAGCAGCCAACATTGCAAAGTGCATCGCAAGCCCAGTAGTTAGCCAAGTCTCTTTCTGCCCGGTCTGTTTGTGCTTGCAGAGAAGCAGAAAACTCCAAACTGGCTGCAGATGCTACAAAATTCTGGCTGTCTGTCAAGGAGCAGCTCTGTCTTTACTGCCTATTAAAACTCCAGTGGGAGGAAGGTTTGGGCAGGACACAGACAAACATAACATTTGGTAAAGGAAAACCACTGCAAATCAGGAAGACGAGTTCTAGGCAGCAAAAGACTCGGGTGGCACCTTTCCTGTGGTTTATTAGCTTACAAGCAAGGGCAGCTGTAATTCAGCCCATTGCTATTATTTCGTTCTGATGGATCTGACCCATAAGCAATGGACATGTCACACCAGTGCATTCTAGCTCTGCCTCTTGGGGCAGATTCGGAGGGCTGACAGATCCCCCGAAACATAGCTTGATTCCGACGGAGAATTTCTCTAGTAACGACTCAGAAATCAGCTCCAAGCCAAATGGCAGCAGCTTGATAAGCTTTGCTGCCTCCTCCAGGTTTTATTTGTTTATTTATTAAAACATTTTTATGCCGCCCCATTCGCCGAAGCCTCAGGGCGGCTTACAACAATAAATTAAAATAATTATAATCTTAAATTTAAAAATATAAGCATTACATTAAAAATACAAAAATACAAAATCAAATAAGCCGCCCTGGCCAGAAAAATCCAATAATATTAACAGTTAAAATGCCGCTTAAATAAAAAGGTCTTCGCCTGGCACCGAAAAACAAATAACGACTGCGCCAGGTGGACCTCTCTGGGGAGCGCATTCCATAGATTGGGCGCCACCGCAGAGAAAGCCCTCCTCCGAGTAGCCAACCTCCTGATTTCTTTCACCGAGGGCTCCCGGAGAAGGGCCTTTCCCGCCGATCTCAAGGGGCGGCTGGGCATATATGGATGTAAGCGCTCCTTCAGGTTTTAATTCTCCTTCCACCCATGATCAGCTAAGATGCTGGGCAGTGATGCTTTCCCCTGGCCACCCCTTTGCTGGAATCCTGTTTCAGGCCTGCCAAGAGCTGAAGCAGGCCTCAAGCCGGAGCAGTCTGCCCACACACAGGCTCAGCTCCAGGATGTCCTCCAAGGAATCGCCCGATGAAGAGCTGCTGCTGAGCATGGCTCTGCGCATGCGTGTGATTTCGTGGTGGTGCGCCACCCTCGCTAAGCATGGCTCTGTCTCAGTCGCGTGCAAAACACAGGGATGGGGCAAGAGACACAGGAGAAAAGAAACACTCTTCAGATGTTCCCTGCCTCACTGCTCTCCCCTTGAGCCCCTTCCCCGTGACCCCACTCCCCCCCCCCAAAGTGCAGAGGGAGCCCTAACGCATGGCGGTCCGGCCAGCTCTAGAAAGAGGGAAGCAGCAAAAGCAGTAGGTTTTACATGAACAAAAGTAAGTAAAATTCATGAGAAGAATGTATTTGGGGCTTTTCCAGGAAGCAGAGGAAATGCATATCAAGGCCATCCAAATCAAGGAGCAGCTTCTGGGCCAAGAGGATTACGAAGTGGCGCTTTCCGTGGGACACCTGGCCTCTCTCTACAACTACGACATGAATCAGTACGAGAACGCCGAGAAGCTTTACTTGCGATCCATCGCCATCGGTGCGTCTGGCCTCCGCACAGGTTTTCCGTGGACTGCCATGATGGAGGGTTGGGTGAGCGTCTGCTAAAGGCGGATTGACTTAGCATCATCCCTTTCTGCGGACGTGCTCACTGTGTGTTTTGGGTTTTTTTAATGATGAAACTCCCTCCAAACTCCTCGGGTGCCCGGGAGCCTTTTTGTATCTTACGAACGTGCAGAGAACAAAGTCTTATCTTGGCCAGCAGCCCGACGTCCCAAGGACATGAGCAGAGTAGCACCCTTCAGCCCACGTTCCCCCACAAGTGATGCCCCACGAGAGGTGCCATGCCCCTGTTCCCAGAGGTAGCCTAGAGCCACCTGGGCTAGTAGCCATTGCCTCCATGAGTTTGCCCAATCCCTTTTCCAAGCTTTGCCATTTGAGCATGGCGGTGTAAATAAATGCTTGCGTTTATCTGTTTCTTGGGATGGCCTCAGTGAGTTCTGATACTGCTAGAGCAGGGGGAAAAGTCACTCTGTGTTCTCCAGAATGGACATAATGTAATATGCATCTGTTTTCTCTTCCCTTACGTGCCTTTTCTCTCCCCGCCCCTTTTTGTAAGCGAAATAGCAGGCCAGGGAAGGTGTCTCAGCCCCCCAACACCTTCATTCCAGTCGCCTCCATCTGCCCTTTTCTCTAGCCCTACAATGCCTTGTTTGAGGTGGCAGAATTGGGAATGTGCTTCTCCACATGCCGACTGACAGTTTCACTTTTCAGTTCCTGTTGCAATGGATGCCAGCGTGGTATTGGCCAACCCCCACGCTAGATGGGTATTTTCATCCAGGTATCCCTCACCTGTCTGAGATCCCTTCCCAGGTCATTTTCCAGGTAGTACAGATGGCCAGGACATAACTCACCTTCGTGGCTGTTCTTGTTTATTCAATTTATATGCTGTTCCACTAGCAATAGGCTCTCTGAGCAGCTTGCACCATGTTAAAATTCAACAGCATAAAACAGTACAAACACAAAGTAACATTCAGCTACAAAGACCAACAATAACAACAGTAACACATGTGAACACATTTTCAACTGACCAAGTGGGGAAACCAGTTTTTTTCTCCTCATGGATGGGATCAGAGCTCCTCTCTCCATTTAGCCCACAAGTGGGCGACTTTTCAACCTGATCTATTTATTGTAGGTATATCTCACCTTTTGTCATGCAAGGAATCCAGGGTGGCTTGCAGAAGCCTCCACTCTGCTTTCTCCTTGGAGGCAGGTCAGGCTGAGTGAGCGACTGGCCCAGAGTCGACCATTGAGCTGCACGGCCGAGCAGCGACTAGGAAACCCGATTGCCTGAGTTCCGGTCCAGCATTACCTGCTGCCCCAGAACGCAGATGACCTCCCCAGATGTTTTGGCCTGCAGCGCCCATGACCCTTCACGGTGGGCCAATGGGAGTTGCCGCCCCAGGCCTCTGGAGGGCCACGTGCTGCCCATTTTGGAACTAAGGGAACTAAATTCTGCCCCCGGTCTTTCTGGACCCATGGGCACCCTTGGGTGAAGGCCGCAGTGGGTGCCCCTGCAAAATGGCTCCCTTGGAGGGCTTGGACTGTCTGAAGAGTTCCGTATGGGGGAGAAATAATGGTGCTCGAAGCTAGGAGGGGGGCCGTGCCGGAAGAGACCAAGATGTCGGGGGCGATACTGCCTGGCCAGAGTCTGGGAGTGAGCTGGAGAGGAAGAGCAGGCGTGGGGCAGGAAGGGAGGAAAAGGGAAGGAGTGAAGGCAAAGGCTAGGGGCAGGGAGAGACCGGGCAGAGGGAAGATACCTGCATGGACGAAAGCAGCCCTCCTTTCTTCCTCTCCGCTGAACAGTGTCAGGTCACGGAGCAGGAAGTACCATGTTTTCCATTTTTTAAAATTAAAAATATGTTTTTGACGGGGCTTTGCAGGCACTGTCGAAGATTCCTGTGGGTGCCCCGGCAGGTTCTGATGCTTCTTAAAGTCTGTGTTATTGGAGGAACCGTGGTTTAAAGTGCATTATTATTTTTTGCATTCTTTTAGGGAAGAAGCTTTTTGGGGAAGGTTACAGTGGACTGGAATATGACTACCGGGGCCTCATCAAACTGTACAACTCCATCGGCAATTATGAGAAAGTATTTGAATACCACAACATTTTGGCCAACTGGAATCGGTTGCGAGATCGGCAGTTTTCAGTTACAGACGCCCTGGAGGATGTAAGCACCAGCCTTCAGTCCACCGAAGAAGTCGTTCAGTCTTTCCTGATTTCTCAGACAGTCGAGGAACAGATTTGCTAAGGACCTTGGTCAAGTTTACCAACTGCTACATTTTTCTCTTCATTTTCCCCAAAATTTACATGGGAAAAGTCATACTGTGAAATCTGAAACCATGTCTTTTTTTTCTCCAAAAGGGGGTTGTAAAAATTGCATTGAAACACTGGTCCAGCCCATAAAAATCCCGTCTTCTGGGGTGATCGCAACTTCTGAAGGAGTGACCGTACCATACAGAGAAATGTGTGCTAAAAACCCTTAACCAGCAAAAGTACAGAGTGCTTTCCTTTGGCTCACGAGAGAGAGAGATACACACATACACCTAATGATGTTCTCTATTTTTAATTTTTTTGTCCAGAAGCATCCACTTCACAGGAAATACCTGCAAGATTAGTCAGAAATAAAACCATTTGCCAGTTTAAGTGTTGCATTTTTAATCGCGATGGAGGGTGCCACCTGGCTTGTAGTTCTGATGAAGCGAAGTCCGACGTTATTGTGTAGTCGTGGTCTTGATGCAGTAAAAACCGAACCAGCCCTGTCCCGATCAGGGTGCATCATTGAAACTTCTGTCACAGAGATTCCCATGCGCATGTGCACACAGAATAGTAGGGAGAAGATCTTTCTCGATGCCTCGTGCTACCCGATGCGGATTTCTGGCATGGGATTTGCTCTTGAGAAGCCACATTTGCTCTCGACCTGCTGCTGTTTTTGCTTTCAAGAGGCATCGGAACTGGACCAGTAGTCACCCAGAATCGCTAACCACCAGTAGAATATTTAGTCTTGGCCTTCTTCCTTTGTTCTTTGGTACAGGGCAGGAGTTTTCTGTGACAGGACCAGAAGAAGTAAAGCGGACCAGCCTCGCCATGCAGAGAAGATTCTTGGACCAATGGCTTTTTAACCATTTCTGTCCCCAGCATTCATTTTTACCCTGTAGGATTATTTCAGCGGGGGTGTATTTCCAGTGATAACAGACACTTTATATACATGTAATAGATAACAAAACTAGGAGCTACATTCTTTGGTGGTTGCAAAGGCATGTCTTTTAAAGTTCTGCGGTTATACAGGTAAACTAGATGTTAATGCCATAAGAAGAAACTTTTAAATGCTTTTCTCCTTTCCTCCCCTCTGCCCTTCAGAATAGGCTTTCTCAAAAGGCTGCAACTTGCTTGTGCTAACTAGAGTTTGTATGTGTGTGCGCTGAAGAATCTGGTTTTATTTTATTTCAGTTTCTGAAGTTGGCAATTCCTTGTGCAGCTTGCAGGGGTCAGTGGGCAATGCCAAAAAAGCACAACAGGTCAGTCGGTCTGTCTGTCTGTCTCTCTCTCTCTTGCTCTCTCTCTCTGTGTCCCCCCAGCTACTTTTTTATGTTCAGCAAAAACAGCCGGAGCCCGTTTGCTTTATATTTAATTTTTTTAAAAAATGTCTGTTATATGTTTAAGAGCAAAACAAGATAACTATGCCTGTCTCACTAGCTTGTCTTAATTTTGGGGTGTGTGGTTTGGATATTTCGTTTTTCCCATTATTTTCTTTGAACTGAACCATCTTTTAATGTTGAGGTAATAATTGAAATGTTGAAAGACCTATGTAGCATATTCTCCCCACCCCCCAGATTGGAAAGGAGAAAGAGAATTGTTTATTACCTCAGTTCTTAATATGGAGGCACAAGCGGTGCGTGTCTCTGTAGTTAAGTATATTTGTCGGGTGGTCCCCCTATTTTCAGGGGTTCTATAAGTTGCCCAGGGACAGAGGTTTCGTTACCGAAAGCCTCTCTAGTATTTAGAGTGATTCACTTCTCTTTAATTTGTGATTTCGGGGCTGGAGGTCTGTCAAGTTGAAGAGCGCAGTAAAGCCTAGTGGTCGGTGACTTCAGATATTTCTCTTAGCAATAGCTTTGGCTTTTAACCTGGAATAGCGCAGGCTGATAGTTGTTGTTTTAAACGAGTGCCTTTTAAAAATACTTCCTCTCACGGGGGTGGGGGAGCGCCTCGTTAACACCAGGCTCGAGACGAGGCGGTCGATTCCGGGAGCGTGTGCTGGGTGGCTCTTGCGCGGAGAGACGGGGGCGAGGCTCCGCAGGGCTTACCACCGTAGGTCAGGCCTGGCCTTCCTGCACAGTGCGTTCTGGGCGGATTCTGCCCTGTGAGCCTCCAGAAGGTGGGTGATTGCAGGCATTTAGTTTCCAAACCAACCCAGATCCCAGTTTGCACAGGAGCTGCACCCCGAAGTGCTGCTATGGAGGGGGTGGGCCCCACCTCCACAGGGGGCTCGAGGACGGTAAGGTGTCTGTGTCAAAAAATGGTCTAGGAAAGAGTTCTTAATGTTTTTACACCCTGTTTTCCCCCCGGTCATGTCCGAGTCTGTAGGAGTTTGCCAGTCTTAATCCCGTAGGTGCTAAGGATTTGGAGGCAGACTCTGGGAGGCTTCTCAACGAGACTCTAGTCCAGTGCGCACAGAGCAGCCCAGAGCTTCGGAGGAGTGCAGTGGATTCGCGCAAAGCCCCAGAGTCCCCGTACTAAAATCTCAGTACACTAAGGGAGCCCTTCTGCGTTCTCAGGTAATACGGGGCAGGACATCCCATTCCTTTAAAAGGCAGCCCAGCTGGATCATTTCTCTTGGCCTGCAGGCTGCTGCAAAACTGAATTTTAAAAAGCTAGCCCATTGTATTCCGAGCTCGCACCGTCAGCATCCCTAAAACAAATTGCCATTTTGAATGCAATAATATTAATTGTATAGCCTTAAACAAGAGATTACTGTAACTCACAAGCCCTCCCCAGCTGGGTGCTCTCCAAGTCTGTTGGACCACAGCTTCCATGATCCCCAGCCAACAAGGACCAGTGGCTGTGTTGGCTGAGGATGAAGCGAATCATAGTGCTCACATGGTCAAAACCAGGATGGGAAAGACTGAGAAAATCTGGTGATGGAAGGAATAGGAACAGAAGGGAGAGAGCCCTTGCACCTTGCTCCGCATGGAACTGAACTCCCATTCTTAATGTGTTGGGGTCACTTTATTATCTTCCGTGCGGTTGCTCTGGCGTAACCAGAGACTTGTCTAAACTTGCTCATCCCCCAACAGAACAATTGGTTTTAGAAGCAGAATTAGGAAATGACTGCATTTTCCACCTATGGAGACCAGTGAAGCCTAGCAAGAACTCTTTAACATAACCAGTTTTCATACCAGGCAGTGATAGGCAACCCGACTGACAGATTGGATAGAAGTACAGTGATATAGAAGGTGGTATTGCCATGACCTGTATAGGAATAAATAGTCACCATCACCTTTCCAGAAACAGACCTGAGCAGAAGGGGTGATTACTGTGCTTAAAGAATTGTAATTCTGCCTCCTGCATTCTTAGTCCCCCGGTCAGACGGCATTAGGGTCCTGTCCTCCCTTGAACTCACTGGCAGAAGAAACCTTGTGCAATTCCTAGTAACCACATTTCCTTAATGGAGGGCGGGGTCTGGAAAATGTCTTGTACCTCCCATTTTGTGCCCCCCCCCCTAATTTGGGGTTGGTTATTCAGCAAGGCCACAGGATCTCAAAAGTCTCTGAATGTATATTTCTGGGGTGCCTCAAACACGCATTAACCCGTCGTCTGTTGCTGTTCCCAGACTCTTCGGGTCTTGATGTACACATGCAGCAGAACGGGTTGGTAGGAGGGACTGTACCACATCCGGATTGCAGCAGGAGAGTTCACATACTGGAACGCTCTTCTACATGAAAGAGTCCCAGGCTGCAGGTAGACTATTACAAGTCTGATGGGCTTGCTTTTTAACTGCAGGGGAGCGCTGTGTGTGTTTGCCGTTTCCTATTTAAAAGTGGCATTTTCTAGCAGCTGTTGTGAAGTGCTCCAGTCCAGAATCCCACCAGCTTGTTCTGCTGAAAATGTCCTTCTTGATTCTTGGTAGAAATGGACCTTTTGGGGGGAAATCCTCATCCACTAAGTCACAGTCCTTCTGCTGGTTTTGACTTTGCCATCTTTTTCCAGAGCAACAAGACGTTCCTGAATGTTGGTGTCTCCTGGTATTATCCCTTGTCTTTGACTGCATCAGTCAAAGATGCAGAGTGTAAAAAAATGTGGGTCGGGGTGTGTCATTTTGTCCTCAGTGGAATATTGTTAAGCAGTTGTTTCTCTCCCCTCCAACCCCAGTCAAGCGTAAAATCCAATGCAAGGACTGCCCAATCTCTAAATCATGTCAGCCGAGTCCTGGAATGGGTCTTGCATTATTCTACGCCAGTAGGAGAAAGTTGCTTGCTGGAGATGCATTGGTGCTGGAGGGTTATAGAAACTTAACACAGAGGTTTCTCAAGTTTGCTTTAACAAAATTTACTTTTCGTCAGGAAAACCTTAAATTTAGTGTAACCCACCTCCCCCATGTCCCAATGATGACAAAGGGGATTGTCTTGATTTTTCCAGTGTGTCTGGGTTGCATATTTTTGTCGGGCAATTCTCAGAGCTGACTCCCCAGTTATTATTGCGCGCGCGTGCGCGCGCACACACACACACGTACGTACGTTTTAGTTCACATGGGAGTTTTGTGCTCCAAGCTCCTGGGCCTCTGACTTTTTCAGCACCCGTGACTTTGCAAGTAATGAAACTTTTGTGGGGGTGAATGTAACAGCGATGAAGATCTTTATTTCCTGACTGATCCATGTTAGTACACATGAGTAGGCCGCTCCCACAGAAGGAATAATCTAGAAACAGATCTTGCACCTCTATAATTAAGCAGTATTTATGGGATTGCTTTTTTGTTTTGCAAGATTATGCGTTTAAGGTGTTTGTGAGGTCTTTGGTCACTACTTTTGTAGAAGGCTGTTTCACCAGGAGTGAATGTTTTGGTAGCCAGAAGAGCATTTATGGTGCCATTCCCTGAAAAGGTAGAATATCTTACGGGGAATTCGTTGTTGCCCTCTGGATAGGGATTTATGATTTTGACGTGGGCTTTCGTTTCCGCGCAGTTTCATGTACAAAGAACAACTAATTACATATCAAGGACTGCTTTGGACAGCTGTTCTGCTTTGCTTGCTCTTTAGCTGATTTCAGGGCAGTAGGACGTTAAGCATCAAGTGACTGGTCCCTTTGAGAGAGGGGAGTTATTTTCCCATACACCCATGTGGTATGTTGAAGGGAAGAAGCAAGAAGAGCTTCCCATCCACCTGCTATACCATCACCCAAAACCTCCTGCCCTAGAACCTGAAAACAAAATTTCTTCTAATACATAAGATTCACATTCTAACCGCCTCTCCTTTCTAAAATGCTTTGTAGCTGCGCTAAAGTGGTTTGGTTCCCATTGAAAGGGGAAAGTGCCCTGCAGCTCGGCTGCATCATACAGAAACATGAGTGTGTTTAAACTCATGCACGTGTGTGTCTGGGTCAATGCAGACTTTACGTGCAAAGCAATTCTGGCGTTTGCACCATCTGGACATCTTTGCTCCAGTGTCTGTGAGTCCCAGGTTCCACCCATATTTTTACAGCTCAGATCGACCAGTAACTTTGCTGCAGTGTGAAGAGTTTCTTTTCACAGTTCATTTTGTCAAAATGTTAATAAACTCGCCATACACCATCCTGAAACCAAACAGTTTTAAAAGAAAGAATGATTTTTGGAAGAATCTTGTATTTGTTGTACATGGCTGCCTGTGTGTGTGTGTGTGTTCAAACCTTATTTGAAATATGCTTGGAATAGGTAGGGCTCTAGGCGAGCTGAACTGTTCAGAGTGAAAAATATCTGAACTGCCCTATGGACAAGTTGTCATGGAGAGCCCTGTTTGTCTGCGTCAAGGCACACTTGTTAAACTGAAGCTGAGATAGCAAACTTGACATTAAATCTTTCTAAAATCGTTATGGATTAATACACATCTGCTTCTGAGATCCTCACGCCACTGCACTATGAAATGGTGCTGCTCACACCTCTTGGAACAGTTCTGTCTTGTAGATTTTAACTGTTCACCTTGTACAGAAACCAATTCTGTGAGCCTTGGAAAGCTGTCCTTTGCATATTGCCTATAGATCTGTTCATTTCTGCAAACATGTTTGCTTTGGGTTGGTTCCCGCTGATGCATTCTCACCCCAACCCCAGTTGCACTCGCGGGGCGTGGGTCACGAGTCGGCAACCCAGGCTTCCTCTCCGCCAGACGTTTGCCCAGGTTAAATCTGCGAGGCTCATCCTGTATTTGCATGAATGCAAATTTCACAGTGTCTCTGGCAGACAGCCAAGCCAGGTGTGCTCCTCTAAGCATGGTATTCAACCCTGGCATTGCTGAGCACACGCTAAATCTCTCCCCTTGGAGTTCAGAGCAGTGGAGTAGATTTGCACCTTTAGGAACCTCTTGGCTCTGCTGTGCTGGAAAGGTGGAGGGTCCTTTCCTACCTCCATTCTTGGTGACACACTGCGGCCTAAAAGCCCACCTCTGAAATTGCTGACCAAGTCACAACACTTTCGCCTGACTGTACCAGATGTTTCCTTCCATCCAAAGCTCCCGATCACCTAATCTGTAGAAGTCACAAACACACACACACACACAGAGTTCATTATATATAAGGTACTCCTCCCCTTTGTGTACAAAACGAAGTAAAATACAACTGGGAAAAGAACTTGGCCTTGTGGTGCAGGAAGGGGCAAATCTACTGCCAGTTAGGTTGTGCGTTGCACCGAGCTGGCGCTGCTCGGCCCTGCGTGCGCCGGAGAACCGCCGGTGCCGAGACGAGGCACCCGCCTGGTCACCAGTTCCGTGTGAACCACCCAGGAGCCTCTGTGAAGGTGCCATTTTGTGCTAGACGCTCCCAAGCGGCTGCGTTCGGAGGGGAAGGGACGCCGTTCCAACCCCTCGGGTGCGTTTCGGCGTGTTGCTTCGCCTCCCAACCTGGCCAGGTGACACCATCCAAGTGCCATTACTGCGAATTGGAATGCTGACGCTCCTTACAGACGCTTCTCCTATGAGTCTTTGAAGCTGCATGGTCCCCCTCGCAGGTTTCACCTCTTGGCCTTCTGGGGAATTCCTTTGGCAGGCGTTTTTTTCCGGGTGCCGTTGAGGGGCGGAAGGAGGGAAGGAAACGTCCATGCAGGGGGTCCCATTTGACAGTTCTGTAGGTGAAGCTTTTGCCCCCCACCCACCCCCTTTCCCAAGCTCAGGAATGTGCAAGGCAGTCAAACCGCCCTCCTCTGCTCTGGGCTTGCATTGCAGCGTGTGCTCCAGGTTCTCGTGGCAAATCCTTTCATTGAAATCCTAGGTATCTTTTAGCATGGAGAGGCCTTATAGTGAGTTGTTTTAAGTGCACATATTTTTTGTTTTGTTTCGAAAACACTAAAAAGAATTAAGATGGGGAAAATATATATACTATATAAATATATAGAGATATCTAGAAACTTGATGTTTGGCACACAAGTTCTTCAGTGTTGAATCACTTAACCGTTGCAGGTACCGTTTGTGTAACTTCTTTCCCCCCTTTTATGTATATTCCTCGATAGGAAGGCCATGTTGCCATGATTTTTTTTTAAGAGAGAGAGAGAAACTTTAGAGTTATTTCCTGGAGGTAAATGAACTTTTACATTTTCTTGCATATTACCATGTTCAGTACTATTGTTTTTTTAATGGTTCATGGAACTTAACAGGGGATTAAACATGTTTGTGTATGTGTATATGTATATGTGTATATATATATATATATGTATACGTATATACATATATATAAAAAGTCAACCCTGTAAAGCAGCAGCATCGCTGCACACATAACAGCTAAAAAAATGCACAAACCTCCCAATGGCTCTAAAACTGAATCTCTTTTTGTGCCACTCTTATTTATATGAAGGTATCACTCTCGGCCGTCATCCATTCTCCTCTTCTGTGTCAACTTCTTTTTTTCCTTTTTTGGGTGTGTATCCTGCATTGCACCAGCCTTCAGTGCTCAATTTTATTCTTTGTAACCATCAACCATACCGAATATGTTTGTAACCAACATTGTGATATTCTGTAACTGTATTGCTAAAATGAATTATTGAATTAATAAACGTAGTGTTCCTGCGTTTCTGCAGGTGTGCTTTCTTCCGCGGGGTGGAAAGCCGGTGCGTTTAGGAAGGGCTCTGACGACTCCTGGTTGTTGACGGTGCGTTGTTCTAAACATTCCCTGTGTGGAAGGATGGCAGAATTTGAGGATTCTTCGTTTGAAATCAGGCCAGTAAAGGTGGTGGTGCAGTGATCCAACTCGGTAAGGTTACAGATAGTGAAATGCACAAGTTGTCAAAATGAAGCCCGTGGCTCTGAGACACACCTTTGATGTCCCTTTTCTTCCCCACTTTTCATTTGGCTAACCCCAACCCATGACAATCTGCCGAGACCATTTCGAGAACCCCTGGCTGCCAGCATCTTCCTTCCCCAAGAATGCCTTTGGCCTGTGACGTCCATTTCATGGTGGTGCCCAGGATATTTTCTTGGAAGCCCTGGTGGGCCCCACGAGCTGCCTCTCCGTGCTGTCACAGTACCACGTAGTTATCCCATCTCACCTGTGGGGGAACACTGTGGGCTTCCCACCCATGCTGCCTTTTTGGGGCTGGGCGTATGTCAGTCTCGTCCAAACCCCTGTGCTCTATATGTGTTGCAAACATCAAACTGGAGAAGGCTGATTCGTTGAACTTCCTGCCGCATCTGAGCAATGCCGTGTCAGCGGTAAACCCTTTCATCCGTTCACTGCCTCTGGGAAGACTCCCAGTAGCCTCTTCCCATGTCCTTGCTGCTCTTTCCCCTCGCGGCTACCTCTTGCACGTTTGACAGGCTGGAACCTAGTGAGCAAGGCAGCCCCGGCTCCTCTCCACACCACCTCTGTCCCCTGGGCCAGCGTGCGAGGCAACGAAACAAGCTGGCAGCCGTGGGAAAGCGTAGCAGCCTCTCTGGAGTTCTCAGAGAACTTCTACTCCAAGCTCTTGTTCCACTAGACGCTGGGGGAAAGGCACCTGCTGTTGGAAGCAGGGACCAAAACAAACTCTTGCCCCGCAGAGGTCTAACTGCATTGAGTCTGCGGGTCACAAAAGGGGAGGTCCCAAGACCACCCGTTGTGTCGAGCTCAACAAGTTGTGGTGGCGTTATGGGCAATTGTATCCCAGCTTTCTTCCTAGGAGGTTACTCAGCCCTTGTCCTGCCTGCTTCAGGCGGTCATCGCATTGAACTTGAAGGCTGAACAGGAATTCCCCAGGATCTGGCACCGACTCCACAAATTCAAAGGCATAATAGAGCTGCCTTAATGCTTTCAGCCACTAATCCATCCAGTCCACTCCAAATCTGTCTGTTGGAGGAAAGGAAATAAGTTGCAGCAACTTCTAAGCACTCCTGGTCAGTGGGACGAGCCTGCTGTTGGATGGCCAACTGTTCTTACTTCGCTTTCTTTCAAGTACTCTGCTTGCCCAGCCTCTGCTGGGACCAAGTAACCAATGGAAACAGGAGCATCTCAATTCTGCAGGCAGCGCAGTGCCCGAAAGGGACCATCTTGCTGTCGGAGAAGGCCCCTTTGCATGCCCTGAACCTGGATTTGCCTTCTGCTGAAGAGGAGGGTAGCGTGTTGCCCAAGTTCTCAAAAAGGGAGAATTTCAGTAACTGGCTTACGATACAGGGGGGAGAGAAGCGTCCATGCCAAAATTCCCCCTCCTGCCTATCCATGACAGGCACCCAGAATGCGTAGGTTGGGATATCAGAAGAATCCCCAACCTTCTAGGCAGGCTGTGGTCTCCTTTAGGACCAAGCAAAACTTCACACCAAGTCATGAACATATTTCTAAGTTCTACAGAACAGCTTCATCATTGGACTGTTGGTGGCCTGAAAGAAAAGTGAAGAGGCAGGTAAAAAACACAGTTTTGAACCCGAGTCTACAAGATGCTCTCACGATCTTGAGACGTCGTGTGATTAGAAGAGCCTCTGATCAAAAGACCCAGCTGGGGCGAACGTTCGATGTTGTTAAACAGCGGTGCCCAGCCGGCAAAGAAACACTAGATGTCGCTGCTGCTTCACCTTAATTCAAGAGTCAAAGGGACGTTTTGATCTGATATGTGTGTCCGTGATTTTGTTCCGTCCCTCTTAAAAGCCGCCCAATTCCTGGTCGTTGGCCAACTCTCATGGGAGTGAATCCTGTCGCATTTTGTTACCGTGGTTAAAAAACTGGGAGTCAGAAATACTCGCTGACTGTCTGCAAATCAACCCAAGATTGGCCAATAGATCCACGTCAGCATTTGGCCCTCTCAGTCCATGGATGGTCAATTTTACCGTAAATACTGCAAACAGCACCCGGGGGATTGGCATGTGACGTCATTAGCACCAGCTATCCAAAGAAGTCTAACCAGTGTGGCCTTTCCAACTGGGCAAACATTGAGCTGTGCTCTTTCGCCTACGTAGGTGCTTCTGTGAAATACCTTTTTTATTTTATTCTTTGTGTCTTTTGGCAAACGCTGGACCTGCCGAAGCTCCATCCTCCGGGCCTGCTTGGCGTGCTGAGGCAAACCCTTCCCCTTTGCTCCGAGGCGAGGCAGTTGTATGGCACGAAGATGAAGGCGGGCCAGTGCCTGTCTTCCGTCTTCTCCCTGAACTCTTCTGGAGCCTAAAGGGGGCAAGAGAAAGCTGCTGTGCAGTTGCGTCCAGCACCCAACGTGAGAATTTTATGGGGGGCAGTGCGGGGAGAGACCCTTTGCCTCTAACTCCATCCTCTAACTGCATTTAAAAGACCTGGGAGGCATGTGGTTTGTCCATTTTGGGATGTGGGGGGCACAACCAGCCAGGGGCCTGGCCGGGTCTCGTGTGGTTCTGCAGTGCGCAATGCTGTTTCCTGTGCTTACGAGGCTGCCTCAATGGGGTCGACCCACTGGTCCAGCCAGGGAGGGGGGGATTTGTATTTTATAACATCTACAAATGCAGTCACATTGTATTGTCTTATTGTGGATATCTATACTTAGTTGTTAACTAGCAAAACCTGCTAGTCCAGAAATCAAAGTGGTCAACGGGCGGTCCATTCACGCCATCACACCTTTGGAAATATAACAAGAAGGGTACCAGCTTCGAACAAAACCATGCCTCTTTATTTTCCCTCTAGCCAAACAAAAAGAGGGGTGGTCAGTTTTTCCATCGATGTCGCTGACTCTATCCTATCTTGGTATTTCCTACTTGGGTCCCCTAGGACTTCTTTCCAAAAGTTTGTGATCTTGGTGCTCACAGCTCATCTAGGCTGGTCTTGTCCATACTTGAGTAGCAGTTGCTCTCCAGGGATTTGGCCAGGGTTCCTTCCAATCCCGAACCAGAGAGGCTGGGATCGATTCTGGGATCTCCTTCAGGCAAAGCCCTTGCTCAGCCACTAGGTGATGAGCATTCCCCCTAAAGTGGAGTAAGACACTAGTCCTCATGGTGTTAATAAAGGGTTGCTTTACATAGGAATCTTCTTTGTACAGAGTCAGACTGTCTGTCCATCTAACCCAGTATTACTGACACTGGCTGGCAGCAGCAAAGGCACTAGAGTTTCAGGCAAGATCCTTTCTTAGCCCTCCCCAGAGAGACCAGGGAGTGAAAACTGCGATATGTACTCAAAGCAGGCTGCCCCTCAGTGGTTTCCTGGGCTTGGCACACTCTGCCCATCCCCCTTGTGCCCCCCTTTTCCCAAGGATCGGATCTAGGCTAACATGCTGAAGCTAAAACATGCTCGGAGTTTCTTGGGTCCTTCCCACCATCCCAAGAACATCTCCAAAATGGAATTCAGCCCTCTGGCAGCAAGAAGAAAAGGCTTGTCGCCCTTTTTGTCTGCGAGTCAGGACTTGATCACCTTCCACGGGGACCTGGCTCCGGCCAGTGCCTTTCACGTCACTTAGGCCTGCAGGGACGGGAACCCTCTGTAGATGGAAATAAGTGCTCGCTTTCTTCCCAGCGTGGGAAGCCAGCTCTGCAAAGGTGGGGGCCCTTCGGCCCATTCATCTCTGTGGAGCCCCTGGCATTTACCCCCAAATCCCGCACCGGTGACACTACGACTTCCGATCCGAGCACGGCGGACGGCCTCTCTCCTCACCTCTTCTTCGGGTGGCTCAGCTTCTCCTGCGTCGCGGGGCCCCCGTGGAGCCCCCAGGTTTTGCGCAGCTTCGACAGATTGCCGTCATCGCGGAGGGTAACCCCACTCAGGCTCTCCAGGCGACAGTAGGCCTTCTGGAATGGAATAATGCATCAGCAGGATGGGGCCCCTCTGCTGGCGGGGGATGATGTGCTTTGCAGTCTGAGGAACCAGGCTGGGAAGGCTGTCCTGCCCAGCCCCATGTAATCATGGCGGGAGTGTCTCATAGACCAAGCAGAAAACGAGTTTTGTGGAGGGAGAAGGGGTCAAGAGCGGACCAGGAAGAAAGAGAGGGAGAACCAACACACAGTTGGCAGATGCGTGTGGCGACCCGCAGGGTCCACCTTGGCGTCATTCTCACCAAGAACTTGGCCGTTTGGTCAGTCTTGGTGTATCTGTAGAGTTTGCACAGCTGCTTCTCGTCGAGCGCAGAGAAGAGAGAGACGAACCTCCAGAGCATCCTGAAATGGTCGGGGCAGAAGGGCAGCGTTAGCATTTCATGGTTTCACCAGATGTGGAACGGGGGTTGGCGTTGCGTGGCTCTAAAGCCGCACAGAAGATGGAAAACCATCCACACGGAGCACAGCCGTCTGGGCGGAGGAGTGCAAAGCACAGTCCTCCCCAAATCTGCCCCATCTCCTTTTATCCCCAGGCCTTTCTTGTATCTGGAGCTGCTGGGCTTGCTCCCTCCTTCCCCCCCAAACGGCTCTCGGAACTTACTTCTTCCAGTGCTTCAGCTCCCATGTTTTGCAATAGTGTTGGAGGAACATACTGATGTGGTCCCCCAAGATGGTCAAGTTCTTCCGGGTGCTCTGCAGCCTCTTCTCTTCTGGGAAATCTTTGGGCAAATTCAGCTTCCGAAGACACTTCTTAAAAGGCCGCAGGAATTCCTTGCACTGGGGAGCAGAGGAGACGGGAGTGAGTGGAGACAACCAGGGACAGCGCTGGCCGAGGGCCCCCACCCAAGCAGGGGCCCTCAGACTGAGGCCTACTGCTGCTTCGAAGCTGCCCCTGAGTGGGACGCTGTAACGTGGTGTCCTGCGACGGCAGGGGGCTGGACTCAATGGCCTTCATGGCCCCTACAGACTCTGCTATTCCACGATTCCCCCATGGCCTCTCACCCTGGGCCAAGCAACAGTGCGGAAGAAAAAGAGAAGCAAGCGAGACGACCAGGAACCACCGGGAACCACAGTGGTGAGGCCTCGACTCCAGGCATGCATGCTGCAGGGGATTATGGGTTTTGTCCTCTGACGCTTCTGGACGCCAGCAGGTTGGGAAAGGCTGGTTTAAGTGTGCAGGGATTTTGGGCGAGTGAATTCATCCCTCCATGCTTACTATTTTGAAAGTGTCCTGCGTGAGCCCGTCGGCGTAGTGAACAAGGGTCTCTCCAGGCACGTTGCTGGCCTGACAGGTTGGAAGCCGGTTCTTGGTCACCTGCAAACATTCGTCAACCAAAGAGGTCAGTTTCAGACATTCCAACTTGTGGCTACGGGCCGGATCCGGATGTGGCGCTGTCTGCTGGTGGGCTGCGAAGGGACTGATCTCCTAAACTCATTTTAGCATCTTGGTAAACTTCTTGGTCTAATTGTACATGTAGAAATAGTGACGCTACACACAATGTGTGCTGCATTTGTGTATGTGCATGTGTGCACACACGCCAAGGACTCTGGAGGCTCCCGTGTGATGGAGTTTCCAACCCGTGCCAGGATTTCTTTTGGGCATTAGAGGAGCTGTCGGTGGTGCTGTTTGTTGGAATCCCCTCCCCAGACAGTTGCGCTCTCAGTATAAAAGCTGCGCTGGTAGGCAGCCCCTCCCAACACAGGAATCGCCGTGTCCCCCGCGCCTTTGTACCCATTTCTCAGACCTGACGAACCTCACTGTTCCTCGGCTCTCGCAGGCCCAACATTCTTCCGGCATCTCCCCCGTCCGCCACGGCCTTCTCTGGTCGTCAGAGGCCACCACTTCCCCCTCCTCTGCTCCCTGGGAGCTTTGCTGCGGCCAGGGGGCAACGACGCAGCGGTGTGGGAGCTCGCGGCTGGCCCCGTGTGGGTGTGGGCTTCTAAGCCCACTTCTGTGACATCACCGCCGAGGCAACCTGGTTCCAACTTCCTAGCACGAGTCCAGGCGAGGGAGAATTTCTCCGAGGAGAGCGAGGGCAGGCTGGGCCAATTTCTGCTCCCCCACTTTCTTTTTTTGACTTCTGGACCTGACTCCCTGGTTTTTTCAGGAGTTGGGATCCGGGTTTCCGCCCAGATCTTCCTGCTCCTCTCCTGGTTTGAGAGAGGGGCTTTTCCAGCCTTACCTGGAAATGCCATGGGTTGAACCCAGGGCCGTAAGCATGCCTAGCTGCCCAGTGGTTAGTTTTATACCTTTTGACCTGAATTTCATTTTGTGAGAAGTGGGTTTTACCTATTCTGCAGTTCCAAAAAAGCATTCTGCACTTCCCCAAGTAATTCTCTTGTTCTCTAGATCTGCCTGACAGGAAAAGCCACATCTGGCTCTTTGGCTTTTTTAAGAGGCTGCAAGATGCAAGAACTTGCAGGTAGATTAGAAATGTCTTAAAGAAAGAAAGGAAATACAAGTGGGTCGCATGACTAAGCTGTGGCTGCGACTGAGCCCTGTGGTTCCGATGGATAATAATTCCTTAGCTTTCTGCTCCCCCATATTGCAGGATGGGTGAATAGATATACATCCCAGACTGCGGTGAAGTGAAACTTTCTCAGACTTTGTTTTGGAGGAAAAAACCCTCTGGCGCTTTTGTCCCTGTAAGGTCACGGTACTCCTTCTGACAGCTGCTTCTTTCGTACTCTCTGTTGGCTTCTCTGCTTCCATTTCAAAGTGGCAAAGACATCTCGGATTTTAAGAGCTCACGTGTCTTCCCCTGGGCACCCGCTCCGCTCTTGAACCGCTCCTACTCTATTCTGCGGACTTTCCCTCTTGCTCTTGGACATGTTCCACTCACGACCTCCATATTTCCCAGCCTTTCATTCTATCCCCCTTTTTCTCCCTGCCTTTCGCCCTTTGTGATTACCGAGGCCTGAATTTCAGTAGCGTAATGGGAAATTTTGGGAGATGAGCGTATTGGCTGTGACTTGGTTGGTGAATTATTTGCAGTATTAGCTGAAAATAGCAACCAAGCAATGCCTGCAGATAGCTGGGAGGTGAGTTTTACTTCGACAAATACTGATAGGTTTCATTTAGCTTTAATGCTTTCACCTTAACCATCCTAGCCTTGTGGCTAGCAAAGGAGAAACAGCTGTTTTTGACAGCTGGCTGGAAAGAAATGTTACATTGAATTGTACAATCTCCCTTCTTAGGTTTGCTCTGGAATTCAATTGCACAGGATGGAGTGATGGAGTAAAGCCAGTTGGAGTGGCTTTAAAAGAGGGTTAGGCCAAAATTGTCTGTCATGGAAGATAAAGCTACTAGTCCTGATGGTTATACATGATACCTATTTCAACTTCCTGATGAGAAGGCAGAAATCTCGAGAGAACTTTTCATTTTGATAATCTCCTAATTCATCTAACTGCCTTTGCGGTCATAATAAAGATCTGTAGCAGCTAGACAAGAAGGCAGTTCATAAACACCACAAGAAACAACCCAGTTTTCCGAGGTTTCACCACACAGAGCAAGTGCCACCGAGTTCACCCTTCTGGCAACGCAGGAAGAATGTCAGGTTATCCTCACGTTCTTTTCAGCAAATCTTCCACAGCTGCTTCTGGCGCAAATACAAGCGAAGGCCCACTGAAGATCCGTGCTGAGCAGCTCTCGTGTGTTTGCTAGGCCCTCCAGAATTAGAGGCACGGTGCCCGTGTCCACCCGTTGCTGGGGAACATGGGCAGGAGGATTCTCTTGCGGTCATGTCCTTTTCGTGGGCCTTGCTCAGTGTGTACACAGAAAGCTGAGTGAGATGAACTCAGGTCTGATCCAGCAGAGTGATTCCCACCTTGGTAAAACCAGCGGAGAAATAACCTTCTCCAGCACTTCCCTTCTGTCCAGTCTTAGGGATCTGGGACCTTTCTCATACAAGCACCTGCCAGCATCTTCCGTGACAGCAAAGATACCACAGAGAGAGAGGAGAAGCACTGCTCCCAAAGGACAGGGTTGCTGTTTAGGAGTATCAATGCAAATTTGGGAATAACATAGCATTGGTTAAATAATAGTATAATTGAAGTCCAGATGCTGATGGTCAACAGGCAACCTCAAGGCCCGGTTCCCTGATGTCTCTTCATTTTTAAACGGGACTCAGTCTGGACAGCCCTTCTAAGAGCAAGAATGGAGGACTGTCCTCCATACAGTAGGACCCAGGGCCACCTTACTCATGGTAGTTGTGCCCATCGTGCTGTTTGTCGTGTTAGTCTCACATCTGTGTGTGCAGGACCGCAGCCCCGTTTCTGTTTCCTGGAATGCCAGATCTCCTCCACACAGCCCAGAGAGTCCACCGGCATCGCGGAAAACGTTTTCCTAAATGTCCCTCACATGGCAGCTCATCTTAGCAAAAACAATTCCCACTGGCTTGGGATTAGAACTAGGTTGCAAGTTAATGGATGGATTTACTATGGGGTTCTTTGCCTTCTGCAAAAATCAAAGACACCCTAGAAATTATTTCTGAATTTACATATAAAGGAACATATGCAGATGCCATGCAGACTGTGTCCTTCAATTCCAGTGCTTGCATCTTGTAAGCATCGAGCAAAGTTGTTAAAACCGAGGATGTACCGCTACAGACAATACTTCCTATCTGTACTATGCTTCAAATTGGTCTGCACTTGAGTCAGGATGGAACTTATCCAAATCCTGTTTTGCTGAAGTGTACTGTGTCACCTGCAAGGTTTTCCAGCTTTAATCTTATCTTCTCAAAGTGAAAATATTTGCTTTAAAAATAAAGAACCTTGCTCCTTATCGGAGAGCTTTTAACTGCTTTCTCAAAAGGAAAACAAAATAAAGAAATGGAGGTGTGCCAGGAGGAGGTTGGATTCCAGAGCAAACAGACAAATAAAGGGCGAAGGCAAGCATCTGTGTCTTAAAACCAGAGCAATGGTTTCCCGAAGGATATATCGAGGACCACGGGGTAATGGCGAAGTTGATCCTGTTATCATTTTAATATTTATATACCACCCCAGTCCCATAGGCTCTGGCCATTTTACATGAAATTAAAACCAACAGTGATTAAAATTTGACTAAAAGCAGCATCTTGAATAAAACTGACACGAAAACTAATCTGGGAAGGCCTGTCAGAAGAGATACGGCCTTAACTCCCTCTTAAAGGTGGCATCCTGGGAGATTGGATTCATCTCTCCCGGCAGGCCGTTGCACTGCTTAAGGGCAACCACTGAGAAAGTCCTCTGGGTAGCTGGCATTAATCTTACAGAAGCAGACTTCACGCGATTATCCCCAGAGGACCTTAGCTGGCGCTCCAGAAGGTATTTTGGACTCAAGCCATGCAGAGCTTTAAAGGTAATTACCAACACCTTGTGCTGCATCTAGAAACGTACCTGCAGCCAGTGCAAAACAGGTGGAATTTTGGCTCTCCATGATGTCCCAGAGACCAGTATTGCAGTAGCGTGTTCCAGAGAAGCAAGGCAGCTCTATGTAGAGTGAAATGGCGTCCAGAAGTTAGCGTTTGCACAACTGTTTTCAGGTCTGTGTCCTCCAGGAAGAGGCGCTTTTGGCGCATCAACCGAAACTGATGACAGGCACTCTTGAGCACAGCTTCTGTCCGAGCTGGCATCAGAAGGGCCAGGCCAAGCAGCACCCCCAGCCTGTGAACACGGACTTCGAGTAGTGTGATCCCACCTAGGACCGCTCGACACACCTCTGATCCTGGATTTGGGCCTTAAACAGCAAGCACGGCTGTCTTTTCTGGATTCAAGGTCACTTGGCTTCTCCTCCTCCAGCGCGCATCGCCAGCTTCGGGTGGTCCTTCAGAGAGAAGACGCTGCCCTAGAAGCACTGCAGGAGCAGTGGAAGAACTTCGTCCGTCCCTCCGGATGATCTCTCCCAGCGGCTTCACGTAGATGTTAAACAGCACTGGGGACAGAGTGGGACTGTGCCATGGGATGCCACACAGTTCCTTTTCGGAGGAGCAACCATCTCCGGACATCACCGTCTGGAACCAGCCTGAGAGGTAGAAACGGAAGCGCTGCGAAGCAGTGCCTCCAATTCCTGACTTCCTCAGGTGATCCAGAAGGATACTGTGGTCAATAGTATTGAAGGGTGCTGAGAAGTCCAGGGTCACACTCCCCCATCAGTTCTGAGTCACAGAACATCCATGTTAGGGAAAGCCAGAATTGGAAAGGGGAGACCAAATATGAGATGAATTGAATCCACTGGGGGAGCCACAACCTTGAACTTGGAAGACCTGGCTGGGCAGGACATTTTGGAAAGCTTTACTCAGTGGCACATAGCAATAAAAAGGTAATGACTCCTTGCCTTAGTGGTTTCATAGGAAAACAAATCAAACCAAAACAAAAAGCCAAACCCAGAGCTCTATTAATTGACACCAGGTCAAGCAAGGCTAGTCCTATGTATTCATAGTAAAATGCTCAAAACCTAAGCAGGCTCTCACCATTGAACGAACATGGAACAGGTCGTAAGGCTTCAAGCAGGGACAGTCACACTGGATTATATGTAAGGTGCTCTGTGGGAGCCCCTCTGGCTTCGCTCCCTTTTTTCTCCACAACAACCCTGTGATGTAGGGCACACTGAAAAGTGGAACCAGCTCAAAGTGGAGGCTCGAACTTTGGCCTCCTTTAACTGATGGTTAAACCATAGTTTCTTGCCTTCTCCAAGCAGGTATTATCCAGATCTCCGGGACTCCATCTTCCAACAGTACGAGCCAAACTGGGATGCCAAAATATCAGGCTTTGGGTGTCACTCTACACTTTCTGTGGTTTGTATTGCTCGCCTCTCCCCGCCCCACACACAAAATGGCCGCACCCCAACATAAAGATTTTCTCGTCCTACTACTCTCTATGGGGTTTTATCCCAAAAACAAGCAGGGCGGTGGATCACTCTAATTTGTCTATATGTTCAGGGAGGTGTAGCTGGCCGAGCCCTTTGGGATCGGAGCACGACGGCGTAGGCTCCGCCCCATCTTCCAAGCCATCGTCTCTGTCACGTGATACGCCACAGGGGCGGGGTCAACTCTTGAACTTGGAGAGCTCGGCTGCTGCGCGCAATAGCGATACCGCATTTCAGGTTCCCAATCGAACGCGAGGGGCTGTTGAGGGAAAGGAGCAATGGCTTATATTGTGGAAAAGAAAGTCCCTGCATTCTCTTTATCACACCTCTTTACTTTCCAATATTCAAAGCTTTCTGAGTGGTTTGCAGACCAAAGAAACAATACTGTACATCATATAAAAACAATTTACATACATAGATCTCGAGCATACAGATACCTAATTTGAACAGTTAGAAATCCCATTTCCATCTTATGTTGCCTAATGACACAGCACATTTTCCTACTAACTGTCCATTAAAGCAACATATTTCTTTCCATTTACATATTTTAAGATATACTTTTATACATTATTATATCCTGGTTCACACGGAAAAACAACTCAGCACGTGGGTACACACAAAGATCGTTGTTACAGGTCAACCCCCCGTTCTGTCCTTTCACTAAGCGTTGTTAACCATGCATATTTTAAAGTTCACAACCCAACAGCAAAGCATGGATGCTCTTCCGTGCTCGTAGGATGTTTTTCTGGCCAAAGACGCCTAGAATTGACCACCCTAACCTACTCTGTACGAACTCAAACGAACTGGCTAAGAATGCTGGCTGAAACACGTTGGGTGACTGGGCCAGTCTCAGACACAGCCCAACCGAACTCACAGGATTGTCATTGCGGTGAAAAGAACCTTGACAAAAGGAAGAAAGGATGTAAAGGATTTTACATAAGGACGTAAAAATAATACAGTGGCAATAAAGGTGGAACTGGTGTGCCTTGTTCAGACATTTAAAAGGCCAGCAACTGCTAGCCTTCCCTTACTGGCGTCTTCTGGAGAAGGGAATGCGGGACTACATTTCCCAGCATCCGCAGCACAGGTCCTTCCAGAGAAACGCCAGCGGCGTCCCGAAGCCCTTCCCGCCTGGCGCCTTCCAGAGGAGGGGCTTCTCCGCAGATCCCCCCATTACCGGCATCGATCTTTCCACGGGGCTGCTGGGAGCTCGAGTCCACGCCCCTCCTTCTGAAAAGCACCAATAGGGAAGAGCTGAGTTACCACCGCCCCGAACCGGAAGTGAGGTCAGCACACCTCCTGGGCGCGCTCGCTTCCTCCCCGCCGCTCCTCCTCCTCCTCTATGATCCCCTTTTGTTCCGCTCCTCTAGGGACGCGCCCCGCCCGACGCCGGGCGGCTTCCCGGCCACGCGACGCGGGGGGCGGGGCGAAGTTTTGAAAGCGGGAGGAGGAGGAGGCGGGGTCAGTTGTTTCTCGACGTCACGTGACTCGGCATGGAGGCGGCGGTGGCGGGGAGCGAGCGCTGCCTCCACCTCCTCCTCCTCCTCCGGAGTCGGCGGCGGCGCTAGTCCGGCACAGTCTGGCCGAGGCGGAGACGGCGGCGGCGGCGGCGGCGGCGGCGCCTGGAGGCGAGCGACGCCGAGCCCGGCGGCCGTTGCCAGGGCGCGCGGCGGCGGCGGCTTCGCCCGCCATGGACTGAGGGCTGCGATGGGCAACAAGGAGTCGCGCATCGGCTTCCTCACCTACGACGAGGCCCTGCGGAGGGGTGAGTGGAGGGCAGGTGGGCGGGGCCGGCATGCTAATTAGGGGCGGGGGCGTACGGGGTGGCGAGCGCTCGGCTGGGGGGTTATGCTAATGTATGGAAATGAGGCAGGCAGGGGAGGGGTCCTCGGGGGCGCGGGGTGGGGCGGCCTCTTTGCGGGGGGCGAGTTAATGAAGCACGCCTATGAGGCAGGTATGTAAATAAAGGGGAGGGGCGACCCCGGGGGGAGGGGAAGCTAATGAGGCGTGCAAATGAGGGGAGCTGATGAGACATGCAAATGAGGCGGGCTGTTGCTGCTTTTAACGTTGTAAGCCGTCCTGAGGCGCCGTCGTGAAGGACGGGGTACAAATGCTTTACATACATACATACAGTAAATGCAGGGGAGGGGGCTTGGGCTGGTGAGATGGGGCGAAGGGGAGGAGAAGCTGACGAGGTGTGCCAGTGGGGCAGGTATGCAAATCGGGCGGGCCTTGAGCAGGTGGGGAGCATTAGCTAATGAGGCACGTGGATGAGGGGCCGGCAAGTTAATGAGACATGCAGATACGGCTGCCCACCGAGCTGCTGGGCAGTTGAGTGCGGGGGCCACAGGGCAGAGCGCAAGGGGGTCCTGTGGGGGGGTGGGTGGGAGGGAGCAGAGCCTATCCTGACAGAGAAGAAGGGGCTGAGGCAGTTTTTCCAGCTGGGCACCCTGGAACCACAACTTCCATCCTCCTTGGCCACCCTGCTTGCTAGCTGAAGATGCAAGAAGTTGTCCCCCACATCTGGGAGGCTGCCATATCAGGGAAGGCTGCGGTAAGCCGAGGTTTTGTTTCTTTGCTTGTGTAAAATTTTAACAAGCCATTCCAGACAGCGGGATCCTCAATCTTGGAGATTTGTGCTTTGAATCTGGCTTTGGGGTCGCAGGGTGGGTGACCAGGATTACTGCTGTCGTGAGTCCATGTTTCTCAGCAGTTTCGTTTGCTTTCGGTGTACTTTTGGGGGAGTTGACTTGGAGTGGTATTTGGGGTATGTGAGATAAGCAAGATGAGGCACTGGTTGCCCCAAATTGTGTGTCTCAAGCGATGGACGAATGCCACTTAGGGGTCTGAGCAGCAGGCCGGTCAAGGGTTCCCTGTGGGTCCTGGGAAGGAGGATTCGCTTCTCCGAGGAGGATTAAGAAACATAGCCGAAGCGTTTCGGGATATGTGTGTTAATTACTGCTAGTGGCGTCTCTTCCGGGGTGTGGTTCCAGCTGGAGGAAGATCATGTGGCCTTTGAGGCTGGAGAGAGGTGGAGGACCAGTTGGACTTGGGTCACACTGCCTTCCTGGAGGCATCAGGATGGAGATAACGGCTTGTTGCTTAACCGTGAGTGTTGCCAAGGCTAAGGTAGCTGCCACGGTGGATTCAGCCAGTTCGATTGCAAGAGCTGGCGCTGAGTCAGGTCAATCTTGTGCATGAGGGCGAGGAGCAAGACCTTGGGCTGTCTGGACCCAACGGAGAAACAGGAGGAGGAGCAGCAATGCTTGAAATCTGGGGAAGGCGGCCGTGGAGTGAGGCCTGGTCACCATTTTGGTCTCCCCCCCCCCCCCCCCCCCCCTAGTACTTGCAGTTAGAAGGCCACAGGGGTTAATAAGGGAAAGGGGCTGTGGTTGTGGATTTATCAAGGCCACCGCACCCACTCGCAATTCAGGCAGCGCTCCAGATGGAGAGAAAAGGGGGCCGAGGCAGGGTAAGGCTGAAGTGAAGAGCGCGCCCTGAGGCTGCTGGGATGGAGGAGCTGCCCTGGGCAGGCAGCTTCGCAGTTGTGCAGATGCGCAGTGTTCGAGCTCACGCATCAGAAGGAACAGCAGGCAAGGGGCTTGCGCTTGGATAGGCCCCTGTCAGCACGTGTGGGTTGAGGGCGGGCACCTTGTGCCCTTCCAGCCCCCACCCTCTTCCACCACTGCTGTTGGGGGCTGGCGGGAGCTGTAAGCCGGAACATCTGGAAGGCCACAGCTGGGGTGGCACGTACGATGTCTGTCTGTCTGTCTATTTGTAGGCCACCTGTAACTGCTGAGGCCTTCCTACCATAGGTAGGAGCAGGAGGCCTCCGGTGGCCTCGGGGGCTGGGTCAGACCTTGCCTGACCCGGGATTGCAGCCAGACTGCTCTCTGGCTTTGGAGTGGGTGGGATTGCGCAAGGTGGAAGGCACCGCAGAGATGTTTGTGCTGTGCACCGAAGCTTATTGGGGTCGAAGGTGACTCCGGGGGTGGTGTGCCAGTGGTTCTTGGTAGGGAGGGCCTCGGTGAGCTTGGGAATGGTGAAAAGGCGCCTCGGGGCTGCTGGCTGAGGGGTGGCAGGCACATTTATTTATTTATTCGATTTATATCCTGCCTTTTTTCTGCAAAGGGCTCAAGGCAGCTTACATCTCCTCCTCCACCTTATCCCCACAACAACCACCCTGTGAGGTAGGTTGGGCTGAGAGTCTGTGACTGGCCCAGAGTCACCCAGTTGGAGGTGAGAGCAGCAGGTGGAGGGCTGCAGGCCACCTCAGCTGAAGCTCCATGAGGAGGAATCCTGGGGGGTAGGCCTGGGTGGGAAAAGGAGGAGCGGGGAGAGGGGCTTCTAAAACACGTGGGTGGGTGAGGGAACATGGAGGGCCAGGAGTGAGCCCCTTGGGCGGGACTAGGGTACCCACTGGTGCTGCCTACAGCTCCGAAGGGGCTCGAGCTGCCGGTGTGTGATCTTGGGGCATAGCAACAGGGAGCGACTGCTCTTAATAACCCATGTTGCGTGTTTGATCTTTGCATTTCGTAGAAAAATAAAAGCACACGAAGGAAATCTTTCTGGGTGGGACAGGGGCGGCTATGGGCACGGACGCGATACGCTGCACGTTGGTCGTCAACTTTGAGCGGCCTTCCCCATTGGGCAGCCCCCCAGATGTGTTGGCCTGCCGCTCCCATAACCCCCAGCTGGTTGGGGAAGGGGGTTATGGGAGTTGCAGGCCAACATGTCTGGAGGGCTGCCCAATGGGGAAGGCTCTCTCTGAGAATCCTGGCAGCTTTCACCATATTGATAACAGCTTTCTTCGGTAGTCGTCGCCTGCTCTCGTTCCCAGGAGGAAAAGAATAAATGGTGCAGAAAGCTTTGAATAGGTCTCCTTGGGCCCCTCTGGTGAGAAGGGATATTTATTAAGCGGGCCTGTGTCAAAACGGGCCATTCTAGCCCAAGCTGGAGCATCATATACGTGTTAGGGTGTGGGGTGCCCCTAAGATGCATACATGTTCCAGGTAGTCAGGATGGCCCGGGGGGTCCTCTGAGCGCTCCATGGGGTAATGTAGAAAATAGCCTGAAACGTCTGAAGTCAGGATTCTACCTTGCATTTCTGGATCTGGTGCCATCACGTGGGAGTTCGCTTTCAGTTGTCTCCAGGCTTCCCGAAAATCTGCCGTGACATCACTTGTATGTAGGTGTCACTTTTACTTGGAAAGTGCTCACAGTTTAAGAGAGTGGCCTTTTAAGCTGGTGGCTTCTAATTTCTGCAGAGCTTCTGCTCCTCATGTCGGGGGAGTTGTCCGTTTTAGCACTACTCCGAAATGAGAAACTGCGAAACGAAATAGTTGAAGTTGGTGCTTTGTCGTGATGAAATCCAGTAGTGTTTCCACTGTGGCTTTTATTTCTGGGTATTTTGAAAGCAGAACAAACCTGCAAAATGTTAAGCTGCTCAGGTTTTAAAGGCCAGACTCTGAGTCTGGAGGTGTCTGTTTGGAGGAAGGGGGGAAGAAGAAGAAGCGGAACAAGTGCTAATTTGGCTGAAGTTGTAAATTAGCTGGTCTCCTAGGGTGTACAAGAACTGCTTCTAGGCAACCAGTGCAAAGCTTTCAAAATTTGCTGCTTGTCTTTTTTGGGCATAAATGGCTGTCATAGTTAGGTGTGGGCAAGTGGACAAATATGTCATCTTGTGGGCTAGTAACTTGTTGATTTACGCCTAATGCTGATTTGAAGAGACGTGGACAAGGGCATGTAATTAAGACAGGAAGGCAGCTGTGTGTCCTTCAGCACATGCAGAGCTTTGGTATTACAAATCAAATATTGGCATTTGTGAGATATATTAGTGAGTTTTCAGGACTTCAGCTTTCCATCAGTCGCATCTGTTTATTGCACTTGTCAGTGTTTGCAGCTGATGCGGCTCTTTCATCTGCCTTTCCGAGAGTTCTTCTCGGTTGCCATCCTGGAGGTTGGAGGAGGGCTGGCCTCCTGATGTTTACAAGCGGAGGGCCGGCTAAACAACTCGCCTGTTGACTGAGGCGGTGAATCATTCCCCGTGCGCGTGTGTGAAAGCAGTGCGGCGATCAAAACATTTGCTTCTGCCGCGGTGCGCCCAGTGCTGTGACGAGCCTGTGCTGCAGCAAAATAAAGCTTTTGCGTACATCTGTGGAAGCATGTGGGTTCCGTGCCTCCTAATTCTGGAGTAACCCGCGGATGAGGAGAAGCCAGTCTCGGGTGGTGCTTTGAAACAGGGTGGTAACAACCTCTTGCTGCTTCTCTGTGGCAAGCGAGAACCTCAGCCGAGCGGCAGCGCTTCCTGAAAGCCAGGTGTTTTCCCTTCTAGGCCAGAAAGGGCCGCGGCTGACATCTTCATTTTGCCTTGGAAACATGTATCCCTCTTCTTGTTGAACGAGAATTGAAGTGGCAAATGCCGAAACGGCACAGGCGCTCTGGGGTGAGGAATAACACGGAGGCAAAGAATGCGGTTACTGGGGCAGGAGAGCGATCCATCCGCAGCTCACCGTGGGCCGTTCCCCCAAAGTCCTCCTGAAAGAAATCGCTTTCTTGCTCTGGTGGCAAAAATCGCTTTGCATGTTGTCTCCCGGGCTTGTTGACAAGGGACGTCATTTGCTTGTTTGTCGTGTATGTAGAGGGTTATCCTTGTAAATCTCCGATATTCAACATCACAGTTTTGAGATGGCGCTTGCAGGCTGTATGCAGAGCTGAAGAAAATTCTTCCGTGCCCCAGTCTCGGATTAAAGGGCCTGTGGATGC